CTCAGACACCAGAAAGCCAAATTTCTTCCTTTCCATTAGTATCTTAGGTGGGAGTTCCTTGTAAATCCAAATCTTTCTTCCATACAATTGCAAATTAGAATTGAAGGAATTTTGCACAATTTTATTCCTAATTTCTTTATCTGAAAAATAGATTACCACATCTCTAGGCAATTGCCTTTGCTTGGCAATCCAAGAGTTTATTCGATAAGCTCTGTCAATCCTACAAAACACTTCCTCAGGTTGAATCTTTAAAATCCCAGCTAGAAATTCAGAAGATATTTTCCTTAAGTCATCTCTGTTATTTTCCTGCAAACCTCTAAGTCTTATTGCATATTCTGTGAAATTATATTGTATCTTTAGAACCTCTTTTTGAATCCTCTGTTCCAGATATTCTACATTACCAGACTTTTGGTCAGCATCCATTTTAAATTTTTCTTCTGAACTATAATCCTGAATATTTAACAAATCATTTTCAATTTTTTGAATTCTATTGTCCAATTTATCTTGAATTTCATCCATTTTTGACTCTAGTAAATTAGTATTTGTATCCAACCGAATCATGAATTCTGGCAATTTTAAAATTTTTTGCTGCAAAAAGTCAAACTTGGATTTCACCAATTCCTTAATTTCCTGCTTAAATTTTTCAAGTTGCTGATTCACAATCTCATCCCTTCTTTCAATCTCCTCTAAGAGAAATTCTATTATATTAAAATCAGGTTTCTGGGACTGAAGAGTTAAAACATGTTGCTTTAAATTCTTAGTGGGGGAATCCCCCCCACCTATTTGTTTGTCTGACTTCACAAGCCTCAGTGCCATGTTTCCGCCTAAGCAGGCTTTGTTAGAAGAAGAAAAAAAAAAACAAGACAAAAGACTTCCAGCCAGCAACGCTCAAGCCACCAGGGAAAAAAGAGAAAAACAAAAACAGGAGCGGAGTTTTGTCTACAAATGTAGCCAGTGGTATTTATTCCGCTACATTGTAATAATAAAAAACGGAAGAACTTTCCCTCTCAAACTCTTCTCCAGCCGCGGCAGACGCCATTTTAAAAAGAAACTTTTTTCCTCTTTCTCTTCCTCTATTCTCTTAAGTAATTTTTAAAAGATAAGTAAAATACTTGCGCTTCAGTATTACAGGTCCAGCTCACATTTTCTTTGAGTAATCTGTCAAATTTGCAAGCTTGCTTTTGACGCCTGGCTCTGCATTAGCAGAGGTCTCCCAAAGCCCGGAGCAACGGCTGGGGATATGGGGCATCTCATCCGCTCCATCCCAAAAGTAAAAGAAAAACTTTTGGGACTCTGCAGAGAGTTCTACCCACCCCTGCCGGCTCTATCTCCGTTTCCTCATGGGAACGGAGTTTTTTCGAGCCGCCGTTCCGTTGTGAAGGCGGCTCTGACAGGCAGTGGAAGCTGACGATCCCAAAGGAACGTCTGGCGGCGGCCAGCAGCAAACAGGAAGTCGTTGATGTATTTTCTAAATGGGTAGAGGTTATTCCTATGCACTCAACCTCCGCAGATGCACTTATACGAACCCTGCGTACAATATTTGCTACGCATGGATTGCCTGACGAACTCATGTCCGACAATGGACCACAATTGACAGCGGCAGCCTTTGAGATGTTTTTAGCGGGGTTAGGGATCCGACATTGTCTTATTTCTCCTTACCATCCGGCCAGTAATGGCTGGGCTGAGAGGGCTGTTAGATCTACAAAAGACACCTTAGGGCGCATGGGCGCAAAAGGTTGGGCCACAAAGGTTGCAGAGTATCTCCTTATCCAGCATTCAACCCCCCGTCCCCTGACCAACCGCAGCCCGGCAGAGCTTCTTATGGGCCGCTGTCTGCGTACTGTCCTAGATAGGCTGCATCCTTGTTATGCTCCAAAAAAGCCGTACACTCTGCAAGTGCTCACTGCAGTTTGAAGGAGGGTGACTTAGTCTATGCTCGTAACTATGTGGGCCATCCTCTGTGGCTACCGGGGGTAATATTAGCTGTTACGGGCCCCTGCCCTTATAAAATAGATATGGGATTTGGAAGGGTCTGGAGACGGCATCAGGACCAAGTAAGAGTTAGATGGGTCACTGGAAGCAGGAGAGAGGGGCAAGACGGGGACGTGAATGAAGCAAACCCATTCGACACGACACCCACTGTGACATCCGAGAAGGCAGAACGTCCAACCACGTCACGGTCCCACTCATGCACGCAACTTAGATCACAGCCAACAGACGACGGCCGGAACACGGCCCTGAAAAGTGCCGAACAGTCAACACCAGAAAGCACACCTACCCAAACAAAAGAGCACAATGAGTACTTACTTTCAGTCACTGAAGACCGTCCCAGACCTGAAGTTGCAGGGGCTGACGGTAGAGCAGACAAACAAGCAGAACTTGAAGGCCCCCGCCGTTCTGGCCGACTTAGGCGTCGGCCAACACACCTTCAAGATTACGCATGCGTGTTCCAGGGATAAAGGGATATTGTGTACTGAGCAGGTTCCCCAGTTTGAGCTCCCTGTTGGAGTGTACAGAAGGGGGAAACATTCTGATTGGTTAGCCCTGCTGACAGCGAGTATATAAGAGCTGTCAGCGTTTGTTCTCTGTTCTGTTCTGAGGACGTGTTATGGTCTCATGTTTGAGTTAATAAAGAAGTTACCTCAGATGTTAATTACTTCTCGTGGAGTCGTCTTTGGCAATCAGCTGATATATATTAGGAATGACTGGCCCAAGTTCACCCAGCTGGCTTTGGTGGCTAAGGTGGGACTAGAACTCACGGTCTCCTGCTTTCTAACCTACTTGCCTTAATCACTAGATTAGACTAAATTGGCTTTTATGATAAAATTACCTGCACTGAATAATGTAGAAGCAGCACAACCAGAAAGCGTTTTTTCTTGGGTGGTTAGTTTTTCTTCTGGTTGAGAGTTTGATAATTTTAGCTTAGCTTTAACTGCTGCGTTTAACACCTGTATGGCATTATGTATCTCTAGTTCATTAGGTTGGTTAGTATATTCGCTCCATAGTTGTTTTCTATATATTTATGAAATCGGTGAGTTATTTTCTTTGTAGGTTCTGTTTCCCGCTTGGTAGTTTGAATTTCGCAAGTCTTTTAGTGATTGGTCGGCCATTTTAGAAGGAATAGATGTATAAGATGGCCGCCATGAAAAAGGCGGGAAACCAATGCTAGCTTCATTGTTAGTGTAGTAGTCAGGATTTGACTTTCTTACCGTGGATTTTTTATGTTTGATCTCTTCATCTGATGCTGCTCCGTGATTGTTTGCTAGGCTGTGGAGTTTCGCGATCAGACTTGAGTCATCTGGAGTTATTTTTATTAAGTCTAGTATTTTTCTTTTTATGTCACCTTCCCTGTTTGAGGCTGAGGGAGTGACTTCTGTTTCATCTATCGATTGTTTGGAGTTTGTCAGGAATTCCTTTTCTTGGAATTGAGTATATTTCTTCATTTCTTCAGTTAGTGTATTTTTTTCAGTAGTCAGTTGGGCTGCCATTCTTTTATTTATTTCTTTTTGTGATTCTTGCATTTTTAGGTTGGTTGGGCCTACCAAACCATCCTCTTGCTACCAATTTTACTTGTTTAATTATTCTGGTCAGGCCCAATATAAAAGACTGAAGCCTTTCTTATAACAAAGGTATTTATTTCTTGTCTTCCTCAGGATTACATTTGGACAGCTGAGATTCTGACAGGAGCAACGACTTATATACAGAGGAGGCGGGGCAAAAGGTAAGTAGGGACCAATGGCAAGGAGCATAGTGACATCACACAATAACATATATACAAATATACATATTTACAGAAAACAAGTTAGGTATTTTCAATTGTAACACATTCTGATTGGTTAGCCATGCTGACAGCGAGTATATAAGAGCTGTCAGCGTTTGTTCTCTGTTCTGTTCTGAGGGCAACGTGTTATGGTCTCCTGTTTGAGTTAATAAAGAAGTTACCTCAGATGTTAATTACTTCTCGTGGAGTCGTCTTTGGCAATCAGCTTATATATATTAGGAATGACTGGCCCAAGGTCACCCAGCTGTCTTTGGTGGTTAAGGTGGGACAAGAACTCACGGTCTCCTGCTTTCTAACCTACTTGCCTTAATCACTAGATTAGACTAAATTGGCTCTTATGATAAAATTACCTGCACTGAATAATGTAGAAGCAGCACAACCACTGTAGTAAATTATTAGGAAACTGTCAGAATTAACGACTTGCCTCTTTCAACCAACTTCCTCCCCCGCACACCAAAAAAACAAAAAAAACAAATAGAGATTTCTTTTTAAAATGTGAAAGGGATGAAGAAAGTGGCAATAGCTAAAATCCTCTCAAGTGGGAGCCCAAATGAATGAGCATTAACATGGAGAGATGGAGGATGAGGCCTAAAAAACCTCCAGACAGTTTTATGTGTTACCACCATGTTAGAGCCAGTTGCCTGGCAACCTGTTCTCTATAGTTAAAATTTGGGATGGCAATAATTACAGGCAGGAAACCAGAGAGGACACACCTTTTGTGCCAACCCCCCCCCCAATTGGTTGAAGGCAGTTGAGAGGAGAAGCATGGGAGTAATGACATCCATTTTGAAATGAGGTGTCCCTTCCATCTCTGCTAATGTTCAGAACAACATTCCCAGAGATACAGTTCTTTGCACAACCCTGGATACTTTTAGGTCTCCTACTAGGCAGACCTCCTCCTTCCCTTCCTCCCTCCCTCCCTTCCTTCCTTCCATGAAACAGAAACCTGGATTTTCCAAAAATAAAGCTGTGCCTACTTAATGACCATTCATTCAGTGACCATTCAAACTTACAGTGGTACTGAATGAATGATACCACCAGCCCTTGAAGTTCTAGTTGTCACTTCATGATAACAAGACTGCAATGCAGACACTCAGTTTGCAGCTTGCAATTATGACATTGCAGAATCTCACAATCACATAGTCGCCATTTCCATGACAGTGCAGTGGTTAGAATGCAGTACTCTGCCCACAGTCAGGAGGTTGACTCAGCCTTCCATTCTTCTGAAGTCAGTAAAATGAGTAAACCCAGATTGTTGGGGGCAATGTGCTGACATTGTAAACCACTCATAGAGTGTTCTAAAACACTATGGAGCATTATGTAAGTCTAAGTGCTATTGCTATTGCTATTGTTATTTGTAATCTTTGTTAACTTCCTACAAGCAAAGTCATTGGGAAAGCCATGGTCACAAATGGTGATTGTGTGAAGTCCTTGCTTAACAACATTGTGGGGATTCACTTAAATATGGCAACTGGAAAATGTTGGAACTGTTGTCGCTAAAATATGCAGCCACATAATGTCACACTTTATGGCCTCATTGCTTAGTTATGGAAATTCTGGTCCCTTATTAAATGAGAATCATCTATACTGCATTCCCTTTCCAGATGCCTCCAGATTATTCTACTTGATCTCCTATGTTCTTACTTTAGGTAGCTGTTCACTCTACAGAAGTATAGATAATTGCTTACCAATGCATCTCTTAGGCATTACTGTTGGCTTCTAGGAAAGAATCTGTGAGAAAACTCTGCACATGCTCAAAAGTACGCAGATTGAAAAATAGTGCTAACATTCAGTCCCAATAAACTGGTGCAGATGATGCTCTGCAGAATAGACAGGTCTCAATGTACTGTCAGATGTAAGGGTTACTGAACTGGAGTACAGCCAGCTGTTATCAGGATTGCCATCTGGATACTCCCTTAGGGTGGAACTAGATACAAAAAGGAAAACACCAGGTTCTCAATCTGTTGTTTGTTTGTTTCTTTGAACAATGTTAATACTGACATTAACATTAACAGTAATAGGATAGGGTATTGTGCGAGAAAAGACTATTAAATGAGGAGGACAAAGCAGACCAGGCTTGTGTTGTTGACTTGTTGGGTCTTCTCACCATTTTCCAAATATACATGGTTTCCCCACTCTCAAACCAACTAAAATTCTCCAAAACATCTTAAGTAAAGAAAAGATGCTCAAGGAAGAAAGAAAACAGGAGTCATTTATAATATACTAAGGACTGTAACAGCCACTGAATAGGACAGATAGATAGAAGACTAGCAGAGTGCATCCTTAGCAGGAAAACTATTGTATATAAATAGGCAGAAAATTCCATTGACTAGCACTGGTGATGTTATCATGTCAGGTAATGAAACATCTACAAGCTTGGTTATTTGCAAGCAGATTATTTGCAAACAAATAACCAAGCTCAAAGATCATAAAGAATCCCATATTATTTGGTAGGTCAGTCCTGAAAATTGGTGTGTGCAGAATGGGAGATTCTGATGATAATAGCTTGCTCATCTTGGTTGATCTTGAAAAAGCTAAACAATATGAACATAAAATAAGATAGATAGATAGCTTTATTGATTAGCCTATAGGCCATATCAAAGCACAAAGTTCAAACATATATCGCCAATAAAATCCTATACAAACAATTTATTATTTTATACTAGGAGTTTTAAGTATATATAGCATACTGAGTGCTTTTATTTGTTCCGGTCTAAGACTGTAATAATAAATTGTTGTTGTTGTTGAGACCTCATTGGTATTTCATGAGAGACTATCATGGCTACAGGCCAGACTGGAAGGGCTCCCGGAAAAGGCAATAACAAACTAATTCTAGTACTGTTGCTAAAGAACCTTCATAGGCAAAGACAAAGCTTATAATAATAGGCAGTGCTAAAGAGTCAAAACGAGCAATAAAGAATCATAGAAAATTAGAGTGGTTGAAATTGCTTAATTCAATCATCTTTCAAGTTAGGCAGGGGGATATAGATATTGAGATATCCCATTAAATTAGGATTGCATCAACTCAGCATATTGATATAGTATTATTGTCTTCTAATCTGCCTGGAGTTTGCCCTGCCTTTCTTATCCTACTTTCAATTCTTCTGCAATTTCTTTTGGTCAGTCAGCAAAGAGGCTTTAATTGGAAGAAGAGGAATTCAAGATGCATAATGATAGAATGATTTATGCTCATCATATTCTTCTACAGCTTGTGTTTTTTTTAGTTAGGGTTATGTCTTTAATTTGTAACTTTTAATATGCTTGTGTAGGTACTGGGTCCTAGCATTTTAATTTTTAGGATTGCACATTTCATCCTGAGTAGAATTATAGATTTCTTTATATGCTTTTTATGCTTTAAAGTTTGGCATTTTAAACAAATTTTGGGATAAACGCTGGCTTGGATTATGCCATTACTAATTTGTGTACTAGATCTGTTCTACTTTTAGGACTTTCTGAGCTATAAGGAAGGGATTGTTGGAAGGTATCTTACAGACATCAGACATCTTCTCTTGTCCAGATGGTATAGCATAAGACAACTTGAAATCACATGGTTAGACAGAAGCTGAAAACACCCTGGAGGGGCGCCTGGAGGATCCAGCATCTTGTTCAAGACAATCCATCTTTTGTTCTCAGAGTATGCCTTCACAGCCAAATTCTCTTGGCCTTTGGAAAGCCAGATGGGTCAGGGCTGGGAAGATTGGTTGAACGGATCCGAGTTTATTAACAGACTGCAGTATGTAAGGTTGGATTGAATTCAGCTTCAGTTAATGTGGACCATCTTGTTCTGTGGTTGTATTAGAAGAAACCGAGTTTAAAAGACCAGCAGTTCTAATACAAAATAAAAATCAGTGCATGCATTTCAGGTTTTATATACATTTATATCAAAAAGCTTTGCAACCATGTGAAGCAGAAGAATAGAATAGAGTAATCTTTGCAGAAGATTATACAGAAATTGTCCAGAAAATTTGATGAGATATTTCATGAAGAGTAGAACTTCTCTGAGATATTCCAACATTTTTGCATTATAACATGTTATGTAAGAATGAAACAGACTCTACAGTGTATATTGCTCACTATCAGTTTTGAAGTTGTGGCCGGTTTGGAAAATGAGCCATGATGGTCCCCAAACCCCAAATATGTACTGCTGCCCGGATGTAATATCACAAAAATCCATTCTAGTACCTTTTGGCTCATGAATCAACTTCTGAAAGGAGCATAAATAAGTGAATTACCGATAATTATGAAATGTCAAATGAGGCCAACTTCTGATAATGAAGGAATGCCCTTAACTTTAATTTCTCCTCCTTGGTAATCTACAGCTTTTCCAAGGATATTCTAATAATATATTTGAATCCATCCATCCAACTTATTCATGGCCTTCTCCTTTTACTTCCCAAACATTGTGAAACATAATTTGTTTTTCTCTAGGCCCTCATCCCCTGATAACACCTGAGGTTTTTTTAGTTGCTGATCATTGGTTCAAGGGATCAGTCATTCTGTTTCATACCAGACCAATTGATAGTTTTTTATGAAGTCCATGATACTCCTAATAATCATTTCTAAATCTGTAATTTGAAATATTTATCTTCTTTCTCTTGATATTTCTCAACATCCAGTTTTCACAGCCATACACTCCCACTGGAAAAAAAGATATAATTTTAGTAACAATAAAGATTTGCATAGCTAAAGTAATAACTATGCTGATCTTTGTTGTTACTGAAATAATACTATCTTTCACTATCTTATTTAAGTTTCCTATTGTTTTCCTTCATATAAAATAATTAATTTTCCCATCTCCACTGTACTGCTATCATGATTTATTCTTAAACTCAAGACACAAAATTATCTATCAGCAACTGCAAGTTAAATAGGAAGGAAGAATAATATTAATTTTATTTTCCTAATATTTAACATTAACTTGGAGTTTTCACTATGCATATTTACTTTCCTGTTTGCTTGCTTGCTTGTTTGTTTGTTTGTTTGTTTGTTTATTTATTAAATTTTAATAAATAAAAGTCTTCTTTCTGTTCAGTTAACCTAGTTGTGGTATTTACATACCTTAAACTGTGAGTGTTTCAATTTTCAGTTCTTATTCCACTTTCAGTGCTGCCATTCTGATAATATATTCACTATACTAGTTAGGCAGAAATGGGTACAATCTGTTTCAAATTCACTCCTTTTTCTATTCTGAACCATTTTGTTTCTCCAAATTCTAAACTATGTCTTAGTATCTTTATTATTCCAGATGGAGTGTTAAGAGGAGAAGTCTGCAAAAAGAGATGAGATGGGGGAAATCATCATGCCGAAAACTAAGGTTACATCGTTTTTTAAAAATGAAAATCAATAGGCACATGGCAACCAGAAGGGACAGCAATTTATCTTTCCACATCACAGTTTTTGCATAGCTTAAAGCTGCAGCCATCCAGTCTGATCATTTAAGACATAAGGATTCTAACTCAGATATGCTTAGCACCTCCATGTAGGAATCTATAGATTTGGAGGAATGTGTGGAACAAAATCTGTGCATACTTCTGGACTTTAGAAGTTTCAAAAAACAGCAAGCATTTAAAAAGCTTTGTGATTTTCCTTGACTCCCAGAAGAAAGACAGTCATTGACAAAAAAAAGGCACTAATCTATCCTTGATCATGGTACTAGGGAAGAGAGTACAGCTTGCCAAAAATTCTGTACTAATGCCTACAGATTGCAAGCAGTTGGGTCCCAAGTAACAGCTTGGTGGGGAGGTGGAACAATGGAAGAGTTCCCAGAATGGCTCAAGTCTAGCAGGAATTAAATCTCTAAGAGACTCTTCTCTATTTGATGCACAACAGATATGATGCCTGCATATGAATGATTGTATATATGAAGATAAATTACAGTGCTTTCTGAAACAGTCAATATAGCCATACAATAGCCATGTTATCTATGGAGATGCTTACATTGGCTATAAGTTTTGTTTTGTGATTTTATATTGTCTCTTTAACTCATCTTATTTATTATATTTGCTTGCTGTTCTTATTCCATTTTTGTTGTTGTCCTTGTTATTTCTGAGCCACCCATAACTTTTACAAAGATGAGTAGCTATATGGTAGATAAATAAATAACTAAACAATCTAGAAATTTGATATAGGGGAGGGCGACTAATCCTAAAACTGGCCCTCTTTTATTTTAATGTTTTTAACTTGCTTTATGCAGAACAACTTCCCCCAAATATCAACAATCAATTATATGAGAAAAATCATTAAAGGGTGTTAACTATTAATGCAACCAGTTACTATGACATTTAATTTATGCATACTTGTGCAATTTTTAAAGAACACAAGTATTTTCAATCCTCACAGCAAGTCTGTGAATGCCTTTAAGATTTCTGTTTCTATTTTAAGATGAACAAATTAGAGTGGTGAGAAATTTCACACAAATCAAACAATGGCCGTACAGTCTTATGTTTTTTTCAGAGATAATGTTGTTAAATTAAATGTATTTATTCTAAGAAAGGATGTCAACAAACTACAGTATATCACGCATAAACTTAAGGAGGAAAATATGCAGTGGAGTACCCCAAGGTTCTGTTTTAGGCCCAGTACTCTTCAACATCTTCATCAATGATTTAGATGAGGAGATAGATGGGGAACTCATCAAATTTGCAGATGACCAAGCTGGCAGGAATAGCCAACGCTCCAGAAGATAGGCTCAAGATATAGAAGAATCTTGAACATTGGGCACTATCTAACAAAATGAAATTCAATGGTGAAAAAAGTAAGGTTCTACATTTAGGCAAGAAAAACCAAATGCACAGGTATAGTATAACTGAATCTATGGCACGCATGCAGGAAGTGGCACTCAGAGCCATATTTCCGGCCATGTGAGCCTTTGCCTGTTGCTCTTCTGGGTTCTGGTGTGCCGGCCAGCTGGTCTTCATATGCATAGGAGCGCAGGAAACCGAAAAAACAGCTGCCTGATGTGCATGCTGGAAGATCCACTGCCACCCCCTCCCCCCGGCTGGTCACCCCGCCCACTGCTCCTGCCACCGCCGGGGGGCAAGGGAGGATGGGGTGGGGCGTTTCTGGCCTGTTTTCAGTTGTGGGCTGGGTAGACACTCACTGACACTTCACTGACACTCTTCCGGCCAGCTGGTCTTCACGCGTGCATGCATGCCAAAAACTGGAAGACCAGGTGGCTGGCGCGCATGTGTGTGCCAGAAACTAGAAGATCGCGGTTGCTCTTCCTGTTTCTGGCACCCACACTCAGTGCCGAAAAGGTTCCCCATAGGTGGTACCTGACTCAATAGTAATAACTGTGAGAAAGATCTTGGAGACAATCACCTAAATATGAACCAGCAGTGCAGCAGCTGCCAAAAAAACCAACACAATTCTAGGCTGCATAAACAGAGGGATAGAATCAAGATCACATGAAGTGTTAATACCACTTTATTTGGTAAGACCACATTTGGAATACTGCCACGATGTAAAAAAGATGCTGAGACTCTAGAAAGAGTGCAGAGAAGAGAAACAAAGATGATTAGGGGACTGGAGGTTAAAACCAGTGGTGGGATTCTATCAGTTCGCACCACTTCGGGAGAACCGGTTGTTAACTATCTGAGCAGTTTGGCAAACTGGTTGTTGGAAGAAATAATTAGGGCAGAGAACCGGTTGTTAAATTACTTGAATCCCACAACTGGTTAAAACATATAAAGAACAGTTGCTGGAACTGAGTATATCTAGTTTAATTAAAAGAAGGACTAGGGTTGACATGATAGCAGTGTTCCAATATCTCAGGGGCTGCCACAAAGGAGAGGGAGTCAACTTATTCTCCAGAGGACCTGAAGGCAGGACAAGAAGCAATGGATGGAAACTAAGCAAGAAAAGAAGCAACCTAGAACTAAAGAGAAATTTCCTGACAGAACGATTAATCAGTGGAACAAATTGCCTCCAGAAGTTGTGAATGCTCCAACACTGGAAGTTTTTAAGAAGAGATTGGACAACCATTTGTCTGAAATGGTATAGGGCAGTGATGGTTAACCTTTTTGGCACCAAGCACACGTGCACACACCCATAATGCAATGTGCACATGACACCCCCCCTGTGCCCCACCCGCCACATGTGCCGCGACTTACCCACACATGTGCATGTGACCCACGCACATGTGTCCCACCCCTTACGCATGCGTGGCAGGGACCCAAAAAACAGCTGGTTAGCGGGAGGCACATGCGCATGCACAGCAGAGCTGAGCTGGGGCGACAGCTTGTGTGCCATAGGTTCGCCATCACGGTTATAGGATTTCCTGTTTGAATAGGGGGTTGAACTAGAAGACCTCCAAGGTCCCTTCCAACTCTGCAATTCTGTTACTTCTATTATTTCAAGCCATACCTATATTGACAATTGATTTACTTTTTAAACAACAGCATACCTTTCCAGATTTGTATGGCAAAGTAGGAAACCAGGAATTAAAGATAAACTGTTGCAAGATGTGAACAAAACAGGTAAGACAGGTTTACCCATTTTAAAATTCTATTTTGAGGCATATTGTTTGGTATGAATGAAGGACTTTGAAGAATAGAAAATTGAAGTTAGAGGAACATGATTTGAGATTTGGTTGGCACAGCTATTTATGGTTTAACAAATCTAAAGTTAATTAAAAAAAACATTTTATTAGATCTGCCATACTAACAGAGTTTAAAATAAATACAAAGCAAGGTTGTCTCCTAAAATCCCTTATGGTTGTCACCCCAGGAAGCTTTTTTTAAAGAAGAGCTACTATGGCTATACAAACTTGGCTGACTTATGCTGATTTACTGACTTTTATTGATTAAATTAAAAACAAGGGAAGAGCTGGAAAAGAAAGATTATATGTGTCAATGTTTTTTGCTTATGCACAACTGGATAAAAGGAATTGTGTTTTTGTAGGTGAAAAATCAGATTCTGAAAGAAATTTATATATTAATGACAAACATCTTACCGAACTACCTGTTCTACCAGCCCATCTGCAGTCACATGATCAAAATTCTGGTGAGTGGAAATGCGTACATAGTCTATTACATGCTAAGAACCTGAACTACTAATGGTCAAAGCAAATTGGCTGTAGATAAGAATCAGTGGAGATCAAGGTGGGCTGGGCTTAGGTCTCTTATGGGCACAAAGAGAGTTGAAACTGATGATACATTTGACCCTTCCATCGGGCCTAGCCTGGTCATCTCCTACACCTCCTGCCTTTACAAGTGATTGTAGGGACATTGCAACTCCCCCACCCACCTAATGTTCCCCACATCCTACTTCATTAGGTCTCCTGGCCCTTCTTCCTACCTGGCTGGGTTCTCAAAGACATTGAGCCTACTTCCAATCCTGAGGGTCCCACATCCTTGAGCCTCCTCTTGCCCTATCATGCCTTGCTCCATTTATCTCTTTCAAAGATTGTCTTTCCAAAAAGAGAATCAGCTGATGCACTATGCAGTCTTCTTATATAGAAGCCATCCAGTGGTGGGTTCCTCCCGGTTCAGTCCGGTTCGGCCGAGCCGGTAGCGGTGACGATATGACATCACCGAACCGGTTCTTCCCCCCCACGCCCTCCCACCCCCCCACGTTATTCTTACCTTTTATTTGGTCCCACCCCCAATCTATTGCTGCCTCCTGAGTCCCAGCTGATGACTAGAGGGAAAAAAACTGTTTAAACTCTTGCCGCGGGGCTTCAAAGGGCCGTCCTACAGCTGCTTAATGTTAAAAGCAAACAAATGAGTCGGGTTGTACGTGCGAGGACTTGGTCATACGTGCGAGGACTTGGTCGTAAGTGCGAGGACCTTCCAGAAATGACTGACCAGGTAGCCACGCCACCTAGTCACATGACCTCCAAGCCACACCCACAAAATAAGCCACACCCACAGAACCGGTAGTAAAAAAATTTAGAACCCACCCCTGAAGCCATCACATGCCATCCCAGAAGCAAGTCCTATTTTGAAAGTGGCCATGATCTGAGAATTGTAGATACTCTCAAAATGCTTCTGGGATGGCACAAAGTGACTTCTTTATAAGAAGGCTACATGGTACGTTGGCTGATTCTTTTTCAGAAAGGTATTTTTGAAGATCACCTTGCCAAAAGAGCACAAAGAGAGCTCTTCTCTTTGTGTTAATTTGTATTTTATCTTTCTTTGAAACTTAATAAAGAATGTTTACAAAAAAAAAATCTGCCAGATTATCCCTCTCCTTTACATGGATGATCTGAAAATGTATGGAAAAACATAATCTGAAATGGAATTGCTATTCAACACTCTCCAAATATACAGTTAAGCTATTGCAATAGAATTTGGACTGAAAAAAATGTGCCAATCTTACCATCAGCAAGGGAAAAATAACAAACACTGAAGGAGTCAAGATGCCCTACAGAAATATCATCAAGAATTTGGATGAAAAAGATCGCTACAAATATCTGGGCATCCTTCAGGCTAATTATATCATGCACATTGAATTCAAGGTTAGCAGTGAATGAGAATGAAGATTTTCAGAGAAGAAGAATAACAAACTCAGTGGCAGAAACTCAAAGCAATTAACACCTGGGCAATTTCAATCATTAGATATACAGTTGGAATAATGGAAGATGGAAGCTGAATTAAGAGCCCTGGATAGGAAGACAGTGAAACATGCCCTTCATACATACAGCAAAGTTGAGAGACTCTATTTACCAAGGAGCATAGATGGGCATGGAATGTTGTGAGTATACTAGACAATTGAAGACGAAAAAAGGCATTGGAAGAAATCTGAAGGACAGTGAAGATGTTGCACTGAAGCAACTATTACATCATTTATCTTCCTTTTTTATATATTTTTTATTATCTTTCTTTCTATCTATCTATCTATCTATCTATCTATCTATCTATCTATCTATCTATCATCTACCTATCTATTAATTAGATTTATATTGCAGCCTATTCGCCCATAGCAACTCAAGGCGTCTTACAGAATACAAAAAACCACATTTAAAAAACAGTAAAACTCATGTAAATCAAATAAATTAATGTAATAAAATCACCCCTGACCCCCACCTCCTGCCCCAGCGACAGCTGATCACACGAGCCATTTAATGGGTTCCATCCTGCTCTGGGTTCCACAGGCCCACTGGCAGAACCAGGTTTTCAGCGCCTTCCGGAAAAGAATTAGGATGGGAGCCATTCTAATCTCTGGGGGAATGATGTTCCAGAGAGGAAACCACCACAGAGAAGGCCCTGTGGCAAGGCAAAGTATTATATAGGGATTACATAAAAAATTTAGCAAGCAAAGCAGATTAACAATAGCTAAGAACAAGAAACAGAACAAAGAGACACAGGAGTTAATTCTGGCTGCGCAAGACCAAGCCTTAACAGCAAATGCATATAAAGTGAGAATTGAAAAGACAACAGAGAGCAAATATCATCTCTGTAAAGAAGCTGAAGAAACAATGGAGCACTTAGTTGGCTGCTGCAAGAAGGCTGCATCGACTGACTACAAACAACAGCATGACAAAGTAACAAGAATGATGCATTGGAATATCTGCAAGAAATACCACTTGCCAGCAAGTAAAAACTGGCGAGACCAAAAATAGACGAAGTGATAGAAAATGAAGAAGCTAAAGTGTTCTGGGATTTTAGAACGCAAACAAACATCTGCCACACAACACTCCAGCCTGAACAATTGTTGATAAGAAAGGTAAAAAAAAAAATCTGGATAGTGGACATTATCCACTAGTTGGAGGCAGCAGAATAGAAAAAGCTGGAGAAAATAGCAGAAATAGTACCAATAGTAACATGTGCCTTAGGTACAATCCCAAAATATCTAGAGCACCAGTCAGACACTACCAGCATTGAGAAGAGTGGGAAGATGGGCAGCCAATAAAACAAACATCAATAAATTACATCAATAAATTACCATCAATAAATTACAAAAAGCACTGGAACAATTTATATCCTGTGATGATACTTCTAATATTGTTAAACATCTGCCTATCCCAGGCCCTTAAGGACTTAATAGGTAGACAAAAATGCCAAATCCAGTTTAAACATCTGTCTGGCCATAATAATGCCTTTTAAAATCTAGGTTTGTGAAGATATCTGGGCATTTCCCTTCTGTCTTCCCCTTCAATTTCTTTTATTTCCATTTTATTGGAAAGAAATTTTCAGTTTTCTTTCTGGCAGTCCCAGTAGCCTGGCGACACATGTAAAACCTTGCTGACATCGTTGCCAAACAGACCATGTGTGGGAGTGACAAATTACATGGCATTTGTGGGGGAGAACAATTAGGGAAAAGAGAGAGAATATCTGTAAGTAAGCTTGTGAGAATATTAACTTGTTCCATGCAGGGGGGAAAAAAAATCTTCCTTTTTTGCTGCCATATTTTCATCCAGCTCACTAAAAAGAGAAATTGCTTTTAATATTTGAAGAATAGATTTTCAGTGAAATTGTATTAGGTAGAATAGTGCTATTCTTTCACTTACTTGATTAATTTAGATGAAAAGGTTAATTAAGGGGCATCTGTGGATATCCTTCATTTTCTGTGCGATCCTATTTCCAGCAGCTGCTCTTGATTTTTGTACATTTTTGTTAAATTCCCAAAGGGCATGTCTTCATCTACTTGTAGGACAGTGTGAATATCCAGGAAGGCTAGAGAGTGATGGAAAGAGTAGTAGTAGAAATCTACAACAGTAGCAGTAGCATCCTCTACCATGCACAGCAATAAAAGAACTTAAGAATATAACCAAAAGAACTTTGAAAGACATTACTCCGAACTCCGAGGTTAAGGTAAAAAATATATGATAATGATCAAGGATATATAGAGAAAAATAGTTTTGAGTGATTACACAGCATGAATATTAACCCACGTTTATTCTAGAACAGCCTATATTCAGCTGATCTCCATTTTCCAGCATGAATAATTATTTGCACCCATGTTGCCTCTTTCAAATTTTATAGATTGCCGTTTAGTAATACTGTTCAGGTAAATTGCTAGAGTTGCCACTAAGGTCTAATTCATCCCTATCAGCTCTGCAGGAGCTACATTTAATTTTTTTTTTTTGCATCTTATCTCTCACACATATACATTTAAACATCAATTAAAATACATTACTATATTACCATCAGCTTGCCATTCTGCACCCAGCAACTGATAAGATACTAATTGAAAATGTAATAGAATTTTTTGTAATAGAATGTAATAATTTTTTGTTATTTCTAAGCATCCTTCAGCTAAAATATTTTCCATGTTTTCCAAGAGACATAGTACAGATGACTACAAAGTACACTGCACACAGATGGAGAAAAGCCTGCAGCAATATCTAATTGTGGTGATAGAGATTATATAATATCTACATGTATGTGCATGCATATTCTCTCAGGCAGTGATCCTTGGGTGTGAGAATAAGATGTTGCCACTGATTTTTAAGACTGACAAGTATGACAAAATGAGAAGGGATCCTTGAATCAAAGAAACCATAGATGTTATTATATAACATGATACTAGAAACTGATGTAAATATATTTATTAGACTTTGAAGCTGTATAAAAGCCATGCATTTTGACTGCTGAGTAGCCTAGACCTAGAGCTGCACGTATTCCAAAGACGTTATAATTTTAGCTTCTGTTGTTCAGATATGAATGAAGCCAGCACCTATTATTTTTTGTAATATGAAAGAAATAAATCATCATTCAGCCACGTTTGTGAAAGTTGCAATATTCAACCAGTCTGGTCATGCTGGTTGTGGAATTCTGGGAGTTGAAGTCCACATAGCGTAAAGTTGTTAAGGTTGAGAAACATTGGTCTTGATTAAAAGACAAACTTGGTGCTATTTCATGGCAAGTTTATTTATTTCTCCCTTATCCCATTTCAAGGCCACCCATCTCCTTAAAAACTGTGGCAGCTTACAGATAAACTAACTGTACCTATAAAAAGAAATCATAACCAAACAGAAGAAACAAATGAACAAAACAACCATCCTTCCAAGTTGGTACTCTCCTGAGAATGATTATTCCACCTTTATTATTTTTATATATACTTAATATTCTTTCCTCCTCCTATATTCTCCACAACTCTGTGAAGTGGGTTGGGCCAAGAGTGAGTGACCCAGCCGGTTTTTGTGCCTAAGGCAGAACTAAACTGTCTCCTGGTTTCTAGACTGATGCCTTAATCACTAGATCAAACTGGCTCATTGTACAGGTAAGAAACAGTACCATCTTGTCTGACTCTGAAGCTGTACCTTCTCAGCATCTGCAGTGGCAGCATCTGGCCTATGGAACAGCATCTCAAGACATTTGAATGGTCCCAACCCTGCAAGCCCAACCCAAGGTGTTATTTCCTCGAGCATCTAGGTAGATAGATGAGCTCTGCTAGTTTTTTTCTTCTTCTGATGGGGCTTTTGTTTATCCTTGGGTAAGGGGGTGATGCTAACCATAATCCTAATATGTTGCATTTTTTCTGTGTTTTAATACCCAAAGTATTAAAGCTGCCCAAAGTCACTTGGGTGAAATGGGCAGTTATATAAATCTATATTTATATTATTTTAAAAAATTCCATATCCAAGTTCATGCTCCTGTGTTTTTCCAATGTCATTCTATTTTTTACCACTTATAGTCTATAACTGACAGGAGTCTTATATTTAGCCAGCATTGGCATAAATGAAAGATGCTGGGAAAATGTGCATCTACAACTTTTTTTTTTTTTTGTAACCTCCTTCATCTGTTTTGTTGAAATCTGATTTTCCATTGAACATTAGCAATGTAATTTTCTGGTTTTAGTAGAGCAGTCCAAGGACCTCTTGACCATGCAGTGGCCAGATCATCACATCATAAATCAGTCCTCGTTGGTTTGCAAGGAGGAAGGGGGACCTGGCAGTTTTGTTTTTTTTTAAATTTAAATAAGATGAAATTTGTAAGAGCCCTAGATTATTAGGAAGGTAAAGTTTGCCCAATTCTATAAAAAGGTAGGAAGACACATCCCAATTTGTATACAAGCTCAGAACAGAATTTACTTCAATGGCCTTCTGGAACTTTGTGAAGAAGACAGAGCTGCAAGTGAGGGATGAAGAGTGCATGTTCTGCTATTATAATGTATTATTATTATTGCTTTAATTTTATTATTGTTTTATTGATGTACTTGGCTAGGACCCATGTAGATTAATAGCATATAAATGACAGAAATAAATTAATATATTTATTCTGCATAGTTAAAAAGAAAGATTATAAACTTATAAGGAATTATAAATGCATGAAAGATAATTAAATTAATGCAATTGAAATTATTGCCTTTAATCAAAATAAATAAGTGTCTGTGCAATGATGAAAGGATCGGATGGAGAGAAATGATAAACTAGATAACTGGAAGATCAAGCAAGAATGAGAAAATGGATGAATAAAAAATTTGCAAAAATTGCTATCAGTCGCTTATATGGAGAATCTGGATGGAATAGGATTATTGTATGATACCAAATATATACTGGTACATCCTTCCCTATATCCTTATGAGTGAAGATAAGGACACTTATAGAGTGCATCTATTGATTCCTATATCCAAAAGTATCAGATTTATACACAAACATGTATATATTCTGAATTACCTATTGGAAACAGAGCTCCATTTTCAGACTGGAACTGAGTACAATCGGTGCTTCATTTTTCCTTGAGTTAAAAACAACTAGAATTTCTCAGTTCTACACAGTGTGATTTATGCTTCAGGCATACTTTTATTTTTGGATAGAAACACCATTATTGTTATAATTTAAACTCTGTGTAGTTATTTTAGACAGCCAGTTTAGTATAGTAGTTAAGGTATCAGATTACAAACCAGTAGATGGTGATGAATGTTAGTCCCATTTTATGCATGAAACCAGTTGGATAACCTTGGGCTGGTTATGAAGGCAATGACAAAGTGCTTCCAAAATATTACCAAGAAGACTGGACTAGTCCAGAAGTCAATACTGATTTGAAGGCCACAACATTTCATCTGCCCCCCAAGAAAAACAAAATTCCAAGTTTACCATTTCATATTATTGCTCCTACTACCACTGTGGCTCCTAATATTCAAAATCACAAACAAAGAGGGCATCTTCAAAGTTGTGACAACCATGTAAAAATTTTTTTAAAAAAGGGGGGGAATCAATATAGAGTCCTATTTTCCAGTCTACTCTTGAAGGTCCTGCAAACATTGCTCATTAATTATCTGAAGGTAAGGTTCAGACTTTGCTCTTATGGTAAAAATGCTAGGAGCCAAGCCCATGGTGATTAGCTATGTGGCACTTCTTGAACAAGACCTTTGCCTGATTTCAGGAAAAAAACCTCTCCTGTTGGTTCTCAAACAGGCTGAAGAGAAAGTACTTTCTGTGACTTGGTTCACATATCCTGCCAAATCTTTATTTTAATCATGGCTTGCTTAGTAAAATGGCTGGATTCATACAATGTATATTGTAAAACCAAACAAACCATCTTAGATACACATAACATACACACACAATCCTCTATGTATATATATAATGTATGTGTGTGTGTACATGTACATGTGTGTGTGTATATGTATTACTATAATGAAAATTCTGAATTTTGAAACTATTTTTTTTTATTGTAATAGCTTCGCCTTCTATCATTATGTGAAAAGGATAGTAAAACTGGTATCACTCCCCCATTTTAACTAGGGATATTATTAGAGTAACTTAAAATGTCAGTATTAAGATATTCGCTCACTTTGCAGACTCTGATCCATAAAGCAATTACTTGTGAAGTATGGTGCCCTCTACTGGCTCGGTTAGTCCAGAAGACATATCCTAATGGGAGCAGCATGTAAAGTGTAACATTTGCCATGATGCATACAGTATATATCCTGAAAGAGATTGGTAGATTATGATCCTAAGGCTTGACAATTAGAGAGCAAAACATAGGGATAGAACTTCAAGAAGCTTCCATATGACCATCCATCCCTACCATTTAGAAATCTGGCTAGGGAATTTTCAGGCATATGAAATAATCTACCACCCAATAATATCACAATGGCAGTTTTTGCCTATTGCAAAGGAAAAGGAAAAGATAGGTCAAGTTTTGCCATTTTTTAATTTAGGCAACAGCCCTAAGAATTGTTCAGCACTTAATACAATTCCTTCAACCAATTAATTGAACTTCAAAATAATCGCTGAGCTTGGTTCAGACTCACATGCTATACTTGATTCTTGTTTCCAAAAGATGTCCAAATGTATTTCATAGGGAAGACTTGGCATGTCATCTTTGCTCATTGATTTATTCCATTCAAAATTCCAAGTGCCTTTGCCAGGGCATTTTGCAACTTCCTTCTTTCTGCCCCTTTGCAGGCCTAATAAAACTCCCATAACTTGTCCTTTGTGCCCTTGGTGTATGGAAGAAATCTAAATGATTGCTAAAACACTTGTATACTGCAGGTTTTTTATTTGGTCTTACAGCAAAATTTGATCTTTTTTTACTGTCTCCTGGACAGATTATGTAGCCAACCTGATAAATGAAAAGAATTTCAGATCCTCTCATCTGTACTTGAGAAGGAAGGTTGATTCAAATCTAGAGAGGCCAAGGAGCGAAGGCCTCTTCCTAGCCCAGTTGAAAGGAATCGATATAGGGTGTGATTGCTGAAAGTTTAAATGGAATTAAAATATGAAGGCTAATATCTATGAAAAATTATTTCTTGTACCTAGGACATCCAAATATTTAAATCAAATAGAAGTGGATTAAATATGTCTCTTTTGATTAGAATTTTCAGCTGACCTTAAGTCTTCCTTCAAAACACAACACTTGTCCAGGAAACCTATTATTTTTCTAGAAAGGTCTCAGGCAGGTTCCTAAGTTCTCTGTTGATTGATGTCTACTGTACATTCCATAACCTTTATTATCTCTCACTTCATTCTTCTTCCACTTACTCAACCGTTAAAAAGATTAAAGGAAGATTGTAGTTTTTCTTCTTCCTCTCCTAACAAAACTTGCTTTTCAGTTTTTAAAAGTTAAACACTGTCTCACAACTCTCTTACAAACTTACTATTGATTGCTTAGACCAAAACATCTCACTTAAAAATATTTTCCCAAATACTTAATATTTTTCTTTTTTCCATAATGATATGGAATCGTTTCCCAGGAGCCGTGATGGCACTGTGCCTACTTCTGCTGATTGCTGGCTGCCTGTAATTTAGCAGTTCAAATCTCACCAGGCTCAAGGTTGACTCAGCCTTCCATCCTTCCGAGGTGGGTAAAATGAGAACCCAAATTGTTGGGGGCAATATGCTGATTCTGTAAACTGCTTAGAGAGGGCTGTAAAGCACTGTAAAGTGGTATATAAGTCTAAGTGCTATTGCTATTTGTTTATGTCCTTGAATTCCACAGTAAGGATAAACCCCATGCTACTTCTCCCTCACCATTCCCTCCCAAGCAGGGAAAATGCTGCTTCTGGAACCAAAACCAATAATAATAACCCATAGTCTTACTAACTTAGACATCCTCCAGATGTCTTGGCTTTAACTCCCAGAATTCCCAAATAGTATGGCCACCACTGATAATTCTATATCAAAGTCACAAATTTGAAAGACTCTATGATACCCTTAGTCCTCTAGTCACCTTAAAACTTAAATCCGATTGCATAATTTCTTGCTATTTTGGAGTGGAAAACATAAGCACTATAATATAAACCTTGAAAGTGGCTATCAGTTTTTTATTTAAAGCAAAGAAAATTCCTGAACTCCCCATGCCCACACTACAGCTCTCAATTTGCAAAATAATATTAAATATGTGTGAGTTTTGACTGGAAAAAGTCAACTGCCTCTATTTCAAGGGGAAAAAAACATCTTATACTATATAACTATGAAGTTTTTAGGGAAGCACCTGTATGCTAATTCAAGGCTGAGATATTGATAGAGGAGGCTGACAACTAATACCATCATAAGGATTGGTTCTAAATAAGGAGGAAGGAAGCAGGCTAGCTGAGGATAGATTAATGATTAATAGACAAGCTTCTACTGATTAACTATCATGTATTAACTTTTGCATCAAACACTTGCAGTACTATTAACACAAAAAAGCACTTGAACAAACAGGAACAAAAAAAATTTATTAACAAGAATTAACTATCACAGTGTCCTTAGGTCTAAGATTCAAGACTGATGTTAAAAGAATACATTTAAACATTAAGGCAGAAAAAAACCAAATATATTTTCATCATACAGGTTTTTTTTTCAAATATTAGCTAAATTGCTTTTTAAAGTATTTTTTAAAAAAATAGGTCCTGGTACATTCCAAGTAGGAATTTACACATGCACAACAAAACAAAACAAAACAAAAAAACCAGGCATATAGATCCAGAATGTTTCCTGAAAACTTCACCAAAGGTTAGTTCAATGCCAATCAATTTCTTCCTACCCAAATAATTAAAAGGTGGCCATTTTCTACTATGGTTCTGTAAGCAAATTAAGTACATTCAAAGTTTGTGAGGATTATAAAATGTGAAGGGAAGCCATGCAACCTGAATAGGGAAATGTAAGCTGCAAAGAGCAGGCAAGAAAAAGATGTCTGCAAGGCATTATTTAAGAGCAGTTTTCTCAACCTTGGCAACTTTAAACATTGTGGACTTCAGTGTGGAGAATTATCAGCTAAAATCCACACAGCTTAGTTGCGAAGGCTGAGAAATAGTGATTTAGAGTCCTAAAGAAGAGATAGTGCTATACGAAGAACGAATATCTTTTCTGCCTTCTAACAATGCACCAGAGACTGTTTTGAGCATAAAATGTCTAACTTTGAAGGTAATTGTAGGGCAGGGGTAGGCAACTGTGGCCCTTTTACAATCTTTTACTTCAACTCCCAGATTTCCTGAGACAGCCAAACTGGCTCCCTGTGGACTTCAACTCCCAGAATTCCTGAGACAGCCAAGCTGGCTGCCTGTGGACTTCAACTCCCAGAATTCCTGAAACAGCCAAGCTGGCTCAGGAATTCTGAGAGTTGAAGTCCACAGGTTGTAAAAGGGCCAAAGTTGCCCATCCCTGTTGTAGGGTATTAACTACCCAAATGCATAATCTTGCATAAAATAGTATTTTATTTTAAAATTGTATTGTTGGAAAAAAACATAGCCAAGGAAAACAAATTCATACAAGTTAACAAACTCAAGTAACAAACCAGTTAAACAGAACAGAAATAAAGCAGGGATAGGTACATTGAATGAGAAACGAACATAGGGATGGGCTGAATAGATTTAGCTTGACACTTAAAAAACTGTCACATTTAGAAAGGAATAAAATAGAACTGCTCCTCTGTCATTGATCACATATATCTTCCAAAGAACAATACACCAGAAAAAAAGGGGGAACCGCAAAGATATCTGATTTTGCTGATACCTTTCTGATAGACATCTTGCCTCAGATATAATACTAATATGGCCTGGCCTAGCAGAAGTATCTGCATCCCTGTGCATCATTTATTACCAAGGGAAAAGAGAGGAGAGATTCCACAAAGGAGCTGTCTTCTGTCTTCCACAGGGCCAGCTCTGGAACTCTACTGAAATCAGCAAGATGCAGAATTCTCTAAATGTTGCTTCTTTCTTTGGACTTTTCATTTCTGCCATCCTAGATAGAAATGAGAGGGGGGGGGAAGAGCAGAACTCTTTCATTAATATGGCTTTGGAGCTGATAGTATGAAGCCCCTTACTCACTGCACTTCTTTGCAGAGAAATAACTCTTTCTTGAAGCGATATCTTACCTACTCCGACACTTTTTCCAAGAAGAAACTGCAAATCTGTCTGTCAAAAGAGGTGCTGAGTTAGGAGCACAGGCAAGCATTGACTCCCTGCCACTTCAGCCACATGCCTGTTCCCCCTTTCAAACAAGTGTGTGGGTTGTATGAAGCTGGCTGCAAGACCAGATAATTAAGTTGCTCCCTATAGGAGGTGCTTCAAAGCATTTGTGATGCTTTGAAATGGCTTTTGAATTAATTAATTCCTGTGAAAGGAGGAAGGTTAGTCTCAGCACCACGATGTCATCCAGCCTACAGTAGAAGATACATAAAGGGGTCCTATTCTCTACTCTAAACAATCATCAGTGTAAGACATAGCTTATTGTTGCCAAGATTCGGTCAAATTCTTGATCATATCCCAAGCATTTCCCCTTTATGAAACAGCATTCTTGTTATTGGTCACTACACACAAGTGCATATCTTTTGTTTTATCACTGTGTACAATCACAGAGCTCCTTACAAGTTAATATTCCTGCAGAACAATTTAACTTAGCATTCTTTGCAACATTCTACCTGCCTACACGGAAGGAGGGAGTTTTAAGAAACATTCTGTTGGGAAACGCCCAGCCTCAGTCTGAAACGGTGCGGCCCAGTCACAAATTGTGAGTTTAGTCGGTATTTATCTAGAGAATAGTCAGAAGTTAACAATTGTTAATACAAATATATTATCATAAGTCCTTAACATTACTAATTTTTGCTACCTGTTAATTCAACAATTCAATATGAAATCAGCAAATAAAAAAAAAATCTGAATTTAATTTACAGTAACTGGATAACTAATCACAAAACTATTAAGAAACCAAAAATAATAGTTATTCCCATTTTCTATAAAAAGTTTCAGGAATTTATCTCAAGTGGTACCCCCAAAATAAAGAAATGGACTTTCTGTAGAATTATAGATTCTTTCCCACATTTTAAAAAGGGGAATGCTTTACCTTCATATATTTTGGAGCAGTATTAATGTTGTACTGATGTAGCAATAGGGCCTCACATATTTTCAGATAAAAAACATAACACACCAAATAAAGATAAAACACAAAAAGTGAAGCTTTTGCCAGATCAATTAAATAGTGGTACATTCATTTTATACATTGCACAAAAAAATTCATTCAGATTTATTGTGAGGTTATCTCTCAAATAGTGAAGCTGCAATTAAAAAGATGAAAATACATTTTTAGTTTAGTCAAACAGATTTAGACATCAAGCTTGATTTTAACTTCTATGTTTATTTGTTTAAGTCTTCATAGATGTTAACATGAAACCTATTTACAATCTGTAATAAGAAACTAGAGCTTGCAACATATCAATCAGGTGGAGAGATCGGCACTCTCATTACTAAAGGACATTCTTCCAGTGGAAGCAGATACAATAGTACACTAGGAAGAGACAGGGGGGAAATAACAGACCTCAGGAGGGGGAGGCTTGATAGTGACTGGCTGTGAGGCTCTTCGGGGAGGTGAAGGTTTGGGCTGCACTTGCTGCTGAACTGTGTTGTAGTAGGTGACCCCTCCATACACCTGAGACTGAGCCTGCCATTCCAAAAGGAAAGAAAGAAAAAGTATTGGTTTGTTCCAAATGTTATATATGTATATTTAATTCACTGAAATTCAAAACACAGACAAGTTAGTTGATTTAGAAACTCATTGAGTTAAAAAGACAGCAATATCAAGTAAATTGTGAAATTATAAAATTTCACATTATATATTAAAAAAACCTTTTGAATGAAATACAAACATTTTATTAAAACTTGCATAGGAAGATTTTCTTAAGAATACAGTATATTCTAAGAACCAATGCACTTCATTCTTTAGCCACTAGGTACATTCATTTTATTATTTGTATTATTTCCTTCCTGCATTATTGTAATCCACCAAATTTAACTGCTGTTTGTCTCTATACAATGTATGTTTATTTTATCTCTTCACCGCTATTCTGGTTAAGTCCAAAGACAAATGAGTTAGATATCTCACTGGGATAGTAAGATTGTCTACTTTTCAGCTGTTGGAAAATCAGTGTATTTAATAATTAGTTCAGAACTATCAATTCTACATCAAGTAATATATCTTAAAATTAAGAAAGCTATCAAGCTTTTATTACTTCAGTATAACCATAACTTCTGGAGGGGATTGTCTTTGAGTCAGTGCTGACTCCTGGTGACTGCCTAGAGTCTAGACCAATTCCTACCGTTCTATTAGCGAGAATTTTGGGAATGGTTTGTCACTGCCTTTTTCCTAGGGTTGAAAAGGAGCGATTGGGCCAAGGTCATCCAAATGGCTTCATAGTCTCCCAGTTTGTAATCTGGACTTTAACAACTATATCCTGCTTTCTTTCACGTTCCCCAAATGAAACATATATGTTTCTGTTTGTCTACTGACTGAGTGAGCATCATTAAATTATATCTCTAAAAAGCAAAATTAATCTGCACCACTAGAGTCCTTTTGGGGATAGACGGATAACTGTACAGCTTTCGTTAAATTGATAAATAAATGAATAATCACTTTTTGAAATTAGTTATTAAAGTATCGTAGTACATACTTTAATGATTATGAATGAGTGATTATGATTATTAAATGGTATGTACTACCATTTTCCACTAAATTTCAGCAATTTTTAATTTAGATTTATTAAACATTTTCATATAAATAAAAAACAAATGGAAAGAAAAAAACAAGTCAAAGAAAAGAAAAAGAAAGCTATAGTTAAGAAATATATAAACAACTTTCAACCATCTTTTCAACAAATTAATTATAATCATATTCTCCCTCTTAAATATTTTACAAATCCTCTCAGCCCCCTCCTTTAATCTGCATCTTTTTAAATCTTCAAATCCATAAATCATCAATTCATGTTTTTCTTCATTCAGAAAAAAAGTCCCAAAAAGGGCCAGGATTTAAAAGCAAAACATATGTAGACTTACTTGAGTGTTAGGATACAGGTGGGGAGGTGGGGGAGGTGGAAGTGCTCCTGGAGGATAGGGGTAACTGGGATTGCCAAAATTCATTACTCCAGGAGGGGGAAAGTAGGTTGGTGCTAACAGCTGTTGTGGTGGCGGTGGCGGCGGCGGCTGCTGCCCAGGAGGCATGGAGACAGGAGGAGGATATAAGCCAGCATTAGCCAGAGGTGCAGGTGTTTGATGTGGATGTAATCCTGGCAAAGACAGATAACCTAGTCAAACAATTCTGAAATCAAAATGCTATCAGGAAGCAAAGATGGAATAGATAACATTTTAATATATCTGCTCACTTAAAAGAATAATTGATTCTTTTCATCAGTATATTAGGTATATACAGTATATATCCATATATCACAGAAGTGAGTACACCCCCTCACATTTTGTAAATATTTAAATATATCTTTTCATATGACAACACTGAAGAAATGACACTTGGCTACAATGTAAAGTAGTGAGTATACAGCTTAAACGTGCTGTCTCATACTGGTCACTGGAAGTTCAACATAGCACCTCATGGCAATGAACTCTCTTGAAGATCTGAAAAAACGAATTGTTGCTCTACATAAAGATGGCCTAGGCTATAAGAAGATTGCCAAGACCCTGAAATTGAGCTAAGCACAGTGGCCAAGACCATACAGCGGTTTAACAGGACAGATTCCACTCAGAACAGGCCTCGCCAGGGTCGACCAAAGAAGTTGTGTGCCCATGCTCAGCATCATATCCAGAGGTTGGCTTTGGGAAATAGATGTATGAGTGCTGCCAGCATTGCTGCAGAATTGAAGGGGTGGGAGGGTCAACCTGTCAGTACTCAGACCATACACCACACACTGCATCAAATTGGTCTGCAGGGCTGTCATCCCAGAAGGAAGACTCTTCTAAAGATGATGCACAAGAAAGCCCGCAAACTGTTTGCTGCAGACAAACAGACTAAGGACATGGATTTCTGTAACCATGTCCTGTGGTCCGATGAGACCAAGATAAACTTATTTGGTTCATATGATGTCAAGCATGTGTGGCGGCAACCAGGTGAGGAGTACAAAGACAAGTGCCTACAGTCAAGCATGGTGGTGTGAATGTCATGGTCTGGGGCTGCATGAGTGCTGCCGGCACTTGGGAGCTACAGTTCATTGAGAAAACCATGAATGCCAACATGTACTGTGACATACTGAAGGAAAGCATGATCCCCACCCTTGGGAGAGTGGGCTGTAGAGCAGTATTCCAACATGATGACGACCCCAAACACACCTCCAAAATGACCACTGCCTTGCTAAAGAAGCTAAGGATAAAGGTGATGGACTGGCCAAGCATGTCTCCAGACTAAACCCTATTGAGCATCTGTGGGGCATTCTGAAACGGAAGGTGGAGGTGCACAAGGTCTCTAACATCCACCAGCTCTGTGACATTGTCATGGAGGAATAGAAGACTCCAGTGACAACCTGTGAAGCTCTGGTGAACTCTATGCCCAAGACGGTTAAGGCAGTGCTGCAAAATAATGGTGGTCACACAAAATATTGACACTTTGGGTCCCATATGGACATTATCACTTAAGTACACTTAGGGGTGTACTCATTTATGTTGCCACCAGTTTAGACATTAATGGCTGTGTGTTGCCTTATTTTGAGGGAACATCACATTTACACTGTTATACAAGCTGTATACTCACTACCTGTAGCCAAGTGTCATTTCTTCAGTGTTGTCACATGAAGATATACTTAAATATTTACAAAATGTGAAGGGGTGTACTCACTTCTGTGATATATTGTACGTCTACAATATGTCATATGTATCCCTGTTCTTTGCTTGCAGAGATTGATTTTCAAATGTTAATTTACTTGATTAACAGAAGGATCAGAGTATCTGTCCCCCTCACTCTGTATACATTTTAAAATTCTTTCTTCTTGTGCAATTATTTATTTTATTATATTTAGATACCTCCTGAGTACAAAACATATCTGGGCGAAGAACAAAATAAAAGCACAATAAATTAGAACAACCAAGACAATACCTAGAGTCAATATAGACTATGTACACAAAAATCATCCAAAAGAAGACTCCATCCACCCTAACCCAAAACAGCCAAATTGCGAAGGTTTTCTGGAATATTGTTAGGGTGGGAGCCACATGGATCTCAGAGGGATTTCATCCCATTATGCAAGACATGTTTCCTGGTCCAATTTTTTTTTAAATTTAATCAAAGGGATCCGGTGCATACCAATCATGCCAGTTCATTACATTTTAAGAAGGCATCCAAGAAAAGAGAAAAACAAAGTTTTAAAAATATCAGGTAGACATGGTAAAAGACAGTGTCTTTCCTTGCCAGTGGTAGAACTGAAGTAAGTATAGGTTCTCCTCTCTCCAAAACTGAAAGGTAAAAATGTAAACTATGCATCAAATATGTGAGAAACCAATTATTCTGAATGTTCTCCTTTTCCAAAAGAACAAATAGTTTACAAAAAACAAAGGCCTTTATCTTTAACTTTATGGTTTCAATAAATCCAATCTCAAGTTATAAATTTCATTTTCCTTCAATTAAAATCATCTCAGTTTGCAAAACTCATATTGGATTTTATTGCTTAGAAAGAACATTAACACCCCCCCCCATTTTTTGTTTATCTGACATATCTGAATTGCCAAAACTCAGTTTTGGAACTTTATCTTTTAGATACTTATAAAAGCTTTTGCAATATAGCAAAATGGTACGAAGAATCCAAAGCTTCCTTATGGCATTTACAATGTATAAATAAGTAAAGCTTTATAGTAGTGCCAAAGAGTTTTGTCATTCCAAACAGTGAAGGAAGGAAGGAAGGAAGTACATCTACTTTTCATCTTCCTCAATTTCCTTACAGGATTCACGTATATTAATAGATAGAGAAGTTAATATTTTCTTTAATGCAGAAGAGCAACTATGTACTAGAAATGATAAAACTATCTCTGTTTGTTGTTGTTAACAGCAAACAAAGTATTTGTTGAAATGTATCTCAAGAGATATAAGTGTTGCACTGCAGGAATTTACGGCTATTTCTAACAAGCTGGTAAAACTAAAGTACAAAGGAAATGTTAGAGAAAAATGAAGGAGAGAAGAGGAGCTATGAAAAATCAGTCCCTACCTGGATGTGAAAGATGCATTTCTGGTTGAACAATCACCCCTTGAGGAGGAAGTGGAGTAGGATTTTCACCATGTGTATAAATTGGACCTTGGAACTGTACTGTAAGGACAAACCATTAGACGTTATACTTCTAACATTGATAGAAGTAATTATTATTTTGAAATCAAAGTAAAAAGAAGTCTCAGTTGCCATCAGGCAAAGTAACAATAACAACATATAGTTTTTAAACAGTTCATTACATTAGTAACTAGAGCAGCAAACTGGATTTAAGTCAACAATGGATCAGTATCTCAGGGTTACTGTAAATTAAAGTACCATATTTTTTGGACTACAAGACGCTCCAGACTATGAGACGCACCTAGCTTTTGGGGAGGAAAACAAGAAAAAAAATCTGCCTCTTGCCTCCCAGCAATTTGCCTCCTTGCAGCAAACAGACTGGTCAGCTTCAGCACAGCCTGATTTAGCATGAACAGCTGATTGACAGTTGGATCTGCTTCCTGGAATACTGCCTATCAGCTATTCCAGGCTGCGGGGATTGCCACCCATCATCTATTGCTGTCTCTGTGCACCCTATTTTCGGCCTCTGTATGCCCCATTTTTGACCTCCGTGCATCTCACTTTCAACCCGTTCCAGGTGGCAGGGATAGGCGGTGGCAGCGGTGATCCCCACCATCTGAGACAGGCTGGAAATGGGGTATGCGGAGGCAGAAAATGCGGTGCCCAGAGGTGGCAATAGGCAGCAGTGGTGATGGGCAGCGATGGTGGCAATGGGCGGTGGCGATTCCTACAGCCTAGAACATCTGATAGGCGGTATTCTGGGAGGCAGATCCAACCGCCAATCAGCTGCTCATGCTAAATCAGGCTGTGCTGAAACTGACCAGGCTGTTTGCTGCAAGGAGGCAAATTGCTGGGAGGCAGAGGCCAAAGGGTGGGGGCTGGCGGGTGGGCGAGGCTTCAACAACATTCGCTGTATAAGATGCACAGACATTTCCATCCACTTTTTTGGGGGGGGGGTGTCTTGTACACTGAAAAATATGGTACTCCTCAGGTTACGATGGCAAATGGGACCAAAATTTCCATCACTAAGCAATGCAGTCGTACGATGTAGCACTGGCAATGCCATCCAGCCTTGTTGCTATTGTTAAGTGAGGATTACGTGAGTTGTTAAGCAAGGACCACTGGGAAGAGATAGGAATCCAGGGAAGCAGGCCAGCAAGCTAAAGCTATGTAGTACGAGTAGACAGGTGGGTGTCATGGATACAGGCAAGTGAGAGAATGTCGCAGATGGATGCTCCTGAGTGCAGGCAGGAAGGTGTCATAGGTGATGCTATGAAGCACAGGCAAGCAAATAGATGCTGCAAGCAGTTGCTATGAAGTGCAGGCAGGTGGATGCTGTGGACGGACACTTTGGAACACAGGTGGCAAAAAAAAAAAAAAAGCAGGAGAAGTGAGAGGAACTTGCAAGAATGACTTGTGATCTCCTGTTGCCTTCCCTATTCAGTATGCTTATGGAAAGCCAACAGGGAAGGTTGCAAATGGTTATCGTGTGATTGTGGAACGCTATAAATTTTAATTGCAGCTCAGTTTACAAAGCAACAAAACTGCATTCATGTGACTGCAAATCTGAAGACTCGATTGTGAGTATATCTCATTTGACACTATCCTAACTTTGAATAGTTGCTGAACACGTGGTCATAACCCAAGAAGTACCTGTTGAACAGGACAGCACCATACATTCTATCAAATGTGTCAGATTAAAGGCAAGATGTAGATGAAATACATAAAAAATAATAACATTCTAAGTTTTAGAAATAAACAGTTTTCTGACAAGGAGAGAGGCTTCCAGAAATCTGAAGGAGGGAAGAAGGAAAGCTGAGGGAGTGAAGGGGATAGGATAGGATAGACTTCTGTGGGGCAAGGCTGAGGGAGAGAAGGGAGATAGGATAGGGGAGGCTTCTGTAAGGCAAGGCTGAGGGAGAGAACGGGAGAGGAAAGGCTGATCATAACTACTTATTAATTTTTAAGCTGTGTCGATTCATCAAGCTCAATCACATAGTTTCGTAGTGAAGCACAGGTATCCAGCTAGTATATAGATATAATGGTACTTTTCTGAATAAGTTCTTCAGTTTTTTGTTTTTTACAAAAGGTTAAGAAAATGATATGTAGTCTACAATACTGCAAAACGCAATCTAAAACAGATATAAGAATCCTTTTAATGAACAGTTTGCACTCACGTGCATCATAGTAATGCCCTTCCATTATGCTTATATGGACTGGTGGAGCAGGTTCTGGGACAGGCCTCTGACGCTGTGATGAGTAGCGCTTTGCACGCCCAGCTTGAACCCCCTAGAAAAAAGCATAGCAATGTCTAATTTCTTAAAAGATTGCCAGAGTAAAATCTTTTCCTTTATGATGAGCTTTGTTAGCCACAAAATATCTTCTAATTATTAACAATTGTTTCCCAAAAACATTAAATGAAAGCTAGATGAATCTATTACAAAGGCCAGTATCCCACAAAGCTCAAGTTGCTGGATTGATCCTGCTGCTTGATAAAGACTCTCATTCTTTTGATGAGAAATTCTACAACTATTGTCTGCATTCCAGTTGCCAATCAAACCCATCATTTCAGAAGCAAGAAAAATAAATGGAATGTTACCATGTCTTCTATCCTGTTGAACTGAGGGGGTGGGGCTGCTCCAATGTGCATCTGATTAGGCAAACCTATTAGGACAGACAAAGGAGAAAGGAAACACCAATTATTCTTCAGCTTTACCCTTAAGAAAAATTTAAAAATAGAAAGCAGGTTTGGAGAAATCCTAGATAATATGAAAAAGGCAAATGCTGCTGACTTTGAGAAAGTTTGTGCCAAAATCCTCCCATGCTGCCACATGGTAGGGAATGGTCCCAGGAGGAATGAGGCTGGGAATGTATGCCAAGAGTATATACCGTATTTTTCACTACATAAGACGCTCTGACTGTAAGATGCACCTAGGTTTAGAAGAGGAAAACAAGGGGAAAACAATCTGTCTCTGCCTCCCAGCATCCATCCGGTATTCATTTGGCTAGCATCCTTGCAGCAAACAGCCTGGTCAGCGGCCTCTCCCATGTCTGCTGCCTCCGCTAGGGAACACTGGAGCCTTTGCAGCCAATCGGTGGTTGGATTGGCCTCCTGGAATACAGCCGATCAGCTGTTCCAGGCGGTGGGGATTGCCACAGTTCGCTGCTGCCTGTCGCCCATATTCGCTCCATAAGACACACAGACATTTCCACCCATTTGTGTGTGTGTGGGGGGGGGGGGGGGCACTGCATCTTATGGAACAAAAAATACGGTACTCCCAGCAGGGTCATTCAAGGCATGCAAGTCATCCCAGCTGCCCTTCTAAAGCAAGCCAAATTGGGCAGCAACAATATAAAAAGATGCTGGAGGCAGATGACAGCAGCAAATTCATTTAAGAGATAATAGGGGATAAAAATAATAAAAAATGTACTGTTTGATGTAATACGTTTTAATTTTAACTTGCAAACAAATGTTAAACTGATGAATAAGGATTGATTGAACAAAATACAAGATACACAGATGCTAGTGATTGAATTAAGGTAATACAAGTTGGAAATGATGACTATTATGACATATATTGAGATTTAAATTGAAAGAGCAAGATGGAAAAATGATGTAAAACAGATAATTATATTACAGTTAAAATGTGTGGGATGGATACCAACTAGATAAGAGTTTGAGACTCGGTGGAAATACGTTGGAAATTAATTCAAAATGCTGGAAACAGCCAAACAAATAGGATGAGAGTTGGAGGAGACTATGCTGGTAATCAGCCAAACAATGGAGGGAGTCAAGGAGGAGACTATGCTGGAAATCAGCCCATAAAATGCTGGAAACAGCCAAACAAATAGGAGGAGAATTGGAGGAGACTATGCTGGAAATCAGCCCACACAATGCTGGAAACAGTCAAACAAATAGGAGAAGAGTTGGAGGAGAGATTGAGGAACTATTCTAAAATCAACTAAATAGTTGGTGTTTTGGAGGGGATCAAGCTGAGAATTAATCAAATAGAATAAGCTGGAAGATAGTTAAATATTAGAGGGAGATATAGTGGAAAATATATTAGAAAATGGATTAAATAAAATATGCCTTTGAGAGAAATCTGTGTAATATGTAAACTGGGAGGAAAAAAAAAAACCTAAGGCAAACTGATTTGAGGATAAGGGTCGAAGGATTAAAATTAGATAAAATGTTGTTTTATAAAATACAATAAAAATGGAGTGGTATTGAATTGAAACTAAGAATAAATGGTGATAAAATTGTAAGGTAAACACTTAATAAGAGGTTAGAATATTGTAAAAATTATTTTCATATGACTTGTATAAGATATAAGGTAAAGAAGAATAAAGATATGTTTAGAATTGTTATGCAGATGTAAAAATGAGTGAAAGTGAATTTGAAACTAATTTTGGATAGATATAATGGATTTATATAGATGAAAATGTGAAATTTGAGGTAAAATTGTTTTTTTTCTTAAGTTTTGAATTTCTTTTTTATCTTCTTTTTTTTCTTTTTTTGTTTACTTATAAAAGATGTAACGGAAATTGTGAATTGAGCTTGTGAAAGGAATGTAAGCGTGGTAACCATCTATGACCGGATCGAGATTTTTGCTCTTGTGCTCTGTGTTTTTATGTTTAAATTTGAAAAAATAAATAAAAAATATTTACAAAAAAAAGAAAGAAAAGAAAAGAAAAGAAATCTGAAACTTCAAAGAGAAAATTATATTGGGAACTGGAATGTAAAAAATGTAAAATGTAAATAGGAAAAGTATCAATTATACTTAAGACATCAACAAATAAAAAAGGCATTTCACTGTTTCCATAGTTAGGAAGGATATAGCAAAGACATCCACGTTTATGATCAAAACATAAGAGAAGATCAGTAAGTTTTATGATGAAATTCAAGCTGAAATCCCAAAAAATGCAAGTGAGATGTGACAATTTTGGTTGGAGACTAAAATACCAAAATGGGAAATAATCAGAAAAATGTACTGAAATGGAAATGAAGTAGGAGAACAACTCACAGTTTCTCCTTGTCTTACAGCCACAATGAAATCTGATTGAATTTTAGACCCATTACATGGTCATTAATCCAACATATTCAATGGGTGTTTTTTGCTGTTTTCTGCTGAAAAATAGCAAAAGAACAAAACAAAACAAAAACCCCTGCAATCATATGACCACAGGAAATTGCAACTGGTTGTAAATATCTGCTAGTTGCCAAGTATTCAACATGTGATCATATGGCCATGCATTTGTGTGTAAAACCTGTATCTTTAAAGATAGGCTGTAAGTACTATTTTGAAGTTTGTCATAACTTTAAATGGTAGTTAAGCAACTGGTCATAACTGGAGAATTACCTGTATTTGAATTTACTTTTTTATTTTTAACACATTCTTCAAATAACCAAAACAATGTCTGTCTGTCTGTCTGTCTGTCTGTGTGTGTGTGTGTGTATCACCTTAGCACACAAGACTCAAAGTGATTATAATATTGGCATAGGGAGGGAAGAGATCAGCTATAACAACAAAGATGTGGCCAAAGCTTACCTGTTTCCATAATATTATAGGAAGATATACCAACCATTTTCAAAGAGAGCATCAGAAATTGCTCAGAAGTATTAAACCATATTAATAAGGAACCACAGGAATTGTGGGATGAATTCAAAGAAGTTATTATGGTATAGATGAATGTAAAAAAACAGTCAAAAACCAAAAAATCTGATGAAACCAAACTGAATGCCAGAACAAACTTTGGAAACTGCTAAGAAAGGAAGCCAAAACCAACCAGCACCTCTCACATATGCCTGTTCACCCATCCCAATCTATACTGTTCACCCATCCATGCTTTCTGCAGCATTTCTAGTACACTCTCTTCCCAATTCTGACATGTCTTCTACACACCTCCACTTACATTCTTGACCTACACTCCCGTGCAACCCCTTGCTCCCCATCAACCCAGCAGCAGTCAGTCACTTACTACCTGCCTATTGGCCTTGCAACTTCCTTCTGGCTTTCTCACTGACATTTTCCCTGCAAGCTTACCTCAAGCAAAATAAATAGCAGGAATTCTGGGGAGAGAGGGAAGGAGACAGGCTGGGTAAGGAGGGAAAGGAAGAGAGAAGGAAGGCAGGGGAGAGGGAAGAGGGAGGGAGAGAAACACAGTTGGAAGTCAGAAGTTATACTTGCTCCTACTGATGTTTTGCCTATCCATTGTCATTGTTTCACTGTTTCAGTAAGAAAATATCTCTGAAATGATGATCAAGAGAGGACAGTTGTCTAGTATATATATTCTGTAAATAAAAATTAATTTTTCCTTGCTTTAGCATATCACTTACCCTGTGGTGGTATGAACTGGGGTTGCCCTTGATTCCAGTTTTGTTCTGTCATATTCAACTGAGTCATGTCTTGTTCAAGACCATCCAGATTTGCCTCAACAGGTACCTCCCAATTACCAGTCTTTGCTGAAGAAGGTGATGGTATAATATCAGCAGTTTTTAATGGTGCTGGCATCAACCCTGATGGAGGTGGAACTTCATCTGCCAATTTTCCTGTCTCACCTGCTTTGTTCCGACTCCTTCTTGCCCGAGAATAGGATTTTTTTTCCACAGGCTTATCTGGCTGTGTCTGTAGAATATCTGCAGGTGGAGTTTGATTTTCCAAAACAACTTCTTCTTTTTTAACAGGGCTGTTTTGAACAGGTGGTATCTCAGATTTGGGAGAGGGCTCTCTTGCTGGGATTGGATCTGATCGTCTGGCCCGGTAACTGCTCTCAGGCTTTGATTGTTCATTGAAGCGAGGTGCATGCTGACTACTTACATCCACAGCTCGATAACTTGGGCGAGTATCTTTATAGCCACTAGGTTTGGGAAATGCCCTTGGACTGGCCATCCGTCCTGTCCCCGCTGAGTTTCGATTAATGAATGTTCGAGGTGCCACAGAAGTACTGTCTAGACTCTGATGTCGTGGTGGCTTACTTGGTCGTTCACTGGACCAATTGGATTCTCTTTGTGGTGGACTCCCAAATCTAAATGTAGAGGAGATGCTATTGATAAGAAATGAATGTTTTATGTTCAATTCATCATCACAATTGTTCTTCTCTCAAGGTCAGAAAAAAAAAATTCAAGCCCTACAATATTATTCCAAAAAGTACACAGACCCATTTCTACAAATTCACCTTGGTTTGCGCACCCTCCTGGGTTTGATGTCATCAGGATTGTGTGCAGAGCGGATATCATAGCCATAAAGAGCAATTAGCTCTTGTCTGGATTTTGGTGCTTGCTCATCTTCTCGAAATTTATCATGTTCCCACCGTCCCTCATCTTTCCACAATTTACGCTGGCGACCCTTAGGTCTTGTGTACCAAGATAAAGAAAAACAATTAGAATTAGAACAATTGGACTGGTATGTAGAGGTACCAAAAACTTTTGGAGACTGCTGCTCTATACCATAGATATAACAGTGAACTAAAACCAGAACCATTAAAAATATGATTCCACAAGGGAAAATTTAGAACAAAACCAAATCCTTGGCAATTTTTTAATAAATTTTTTTTCATAGATTTCAGAAAGGCCATTATGTTTCTCAAGAAAAAAGATAACTCATCTGGGAAGACTTTATCATGAGAGACAAAAGAAATAGTTGTGTCTATAAATTAATACCTTCTTAGAGCTGTATTCTCCTATTAATGGCTGCCCAAAGTCAATTAATCATCCAATAACCACTAAAAGATTGAGAGTGGGTTCCATAATTTCCTTTAGTTTCAATATTTTACTATATAACCCACAGAATGAGACAAAATTTAAAACCTAAAATGTAATCCTCTTTAGTGGTTTGTGTATCTTTTTCTGTTAGAAGCCAGTTGTGTCCGCAAGTAAAATGTTCCTGCTTATTTATTTACTTCAAATTTACTTCAAATTCTATGAATTCTTTCTACAATGGTTGCCTGCTATTCCTATCACCTACCGGACTTCCTCTTCCTGGGTTTGTCCACGGAGGTCATGCTCAAAGAAAAGACCTTTACGAGGTATGTATGCTGGGTTCTTCCGGTCTTCATCATCATCTAGATGCTTAGGAAGTTTTTTACCCATTTTGTTTTCAACTTGTTCAGTGCTTTCCTAAAATGAGAGAAATCAAACACTCACCGACCTATTGAGAACCCACCAGTATCCCAGAAACCATGGTTTTCTTTACTAAAAATGTGACTGATCAGGTGTTATGATTATGTATACTGGATAGATAAGTGAGTGGGGATTATTATAGGTAGCCCTTGACTTACAGTCGTTTGTTTAGTGACCATTCAAAGTTACAATAGCACTGAAAAAACTGACTTATAACCATTTTTCACTTATGACCATTGCAGCATCCCATGGTCATGTGATCAAAATTCGGATGCTTGGTAACTGCTGTGTATTTATGATAGTTGTAGTGTCCCAGAGTCTTGTGATCATCTTTTCCAACCTTATGACAAACAAGTCAATGGGATAGCCAGATTCACTTAACAACTGTGTTCCTAACTTAACTGCAGCAATTCACATCGTAAAATGGAGCAAAAGTCACAAGTGTCTTTTTAGCAACAGAAATTTGGGGCTCAACTGTGGTTGTACGCTGAGGACTACCTGTACCAAATATAAATCAATCACAACATTTTAAAATATATTTGAAAGTACTAATATGAAAAAAATATTCGTGTAAAAGATAAGAACCAGATTTATAAAGCTAAATCAATAATTGAGTTCATATTTCAATATTATGTTAGAAAATGATAATATGCACAGGGTTATAGATGATGAAATATGTATCACGATAGGAGGAATAATGTGTAGTCAATTAAAACAAGTCCTCTTAAAAAATCTCTACATCTTTGTTTATAGATATTAATGAAAACTATTTCAGCATGATATTTAAGCAATATAGATCATTCTCAACGATGTAATTAAGATTGGGTTTTCTATCACTAAATGATATGATTGTAAAGTATGTCCCATGATTGCATCACTTAGCGATTAAAATCTTGGCAGTTTTCATTGCCACTGTTAACCAAATCCCAGTGGTTAGCTGAGGACACATCCAATCAAAGCCGTCTTGGTCCCTCCCAGCTCTGAGCCTCAGTGAGGTAACACTCCCCACCAACGTATCTTTTTCTATTTCTGTCCTCTTGGCTCCCTGCACAATGGGCACTCCTTGGTGGCAGTAGCAGAGCCAGCACTAAGGCTGAACCAGAGGTCCAAAGCTTTCAGCAATCTCAGTAAGCCACTACCATCCCTGAGTCTTTATCCCAGCAGTATCAGCGCTACTACCAAATGTCATCTCAAGCCCCATGCACAAAGCCCCAGCTGCCTCCACCACCACCATGCATTCCACCAGCTCTGCAATGCCCAGTCAATATTTGCTGTCTTCTTCTTCCTCCTGCTGAGGCGCACCCAGCTGGCCATATTTGTGGCAGAGAAGGGGAAGAAGATAGGTGGGTGGGGGAGTTGAAACACTCTGCAGTCATAATTGTGGGTGGACTGCCAACCGTGCAAATTTTGAACACATTATCACAAGAGCAGTGCAATAACCATAACTTTAAGAATCAGGCTTCGGTACCTTTCATTCAGTGTGATTCTAACTTCCAATAGTTGCTGAATGAATGGTTGTTAATCAAACACTACTTTTATATTACTCATTTAATTATACATAAAATATGAATTATAATATAAATTGGTAAAAAATGACAAAAGTTGCATTGAACTAAAATGAAAAATGGTGAAAAATAATGAATAAAAATAATAGAGAAATTTGATGAAATACACTGCTCATTATTACTTCTGAGTTTTATTGCTACTACACTAAACCAAGATAGCTGTTCTCTTTTTAGCTGCAAATATCAGAAACACAAAATATTGCTTATAAAATGCTTACAAAACTACTTGCTTAGAATGCAACTCCAAGTGTAAGAGAAAATAATCTACTGAAATGTGATGACTTAAAAATAAAGTTTTTTTCATTCTATGACCATATTTTGCTAAACCATACAAATACATATTTTAATTTCTACTCAAGAAATTAATCAATACTTAAGCTCAAAATTCAGCAAAACATACCTGCCCATCCCCACTCTGCCTTTCACCTGCAACTGTGCCTTTTGACTCTGGTTTCTCATCCCCTTTGTCTGCTTTTGTTCTCAATTCGGTGTCATTTCTGTCCCGCTTTAAGTCCATTTTATTTGTTTCTTCTTCACTGTATTCTCCTTCCTCAGCCTAAAACAAACATCCAATTTGGTTCAATTTAGAAGAAATGGAGAATAACAAATATTTTGCCTATACTTATACTATGTAAGATTGTATGTTATACTGGGTGTAATTTAATACCTTTGTTAATATATGCAGAAATAAAACATACATTCAAAGCATGCATTTTTAGCCCATATACATGCAAGAAACATACTAAATGCTGCAAAGTAATATATATATATATATACTACAGAGAGTATATCCCAAAGGTATCTATTCAAAAGGCCACTGGACTTTGTTTTTCCTTGAAGACGTTTCACTTCTCATCCACAAATCTTTTTCAGTTCTGACTGAATGGTAAAGGATAGAAGGATATTCCATATCCTTCCTTATATTTCTTACAGTTATCTGGTCATTAGTACTCTTTCTGAGAGTCATTGAGGCCACTTTGAGATTTATCTGTGCTCTCAGGATCACCTGAATAATGCAAATCGGTGTGGAACCTTCTTGGAACTGCTGAAATATGAATGACCTGAATGAATGAGGCTCTCCAGACATACAAAGTGTATATAAAAAAGAGCTGAATGGCTTTTCGTGATAAGGAAATAAATATTTCATGCCCTGATTTGTCCAAAGGCACTTACTGAACCAAGTCTCTAAATCTACCTAGCAAGTTAAAAAAAATCCAACAAACTGCTGTGTTACATATTCATGCAAATTATAAAATGATGTGTATGACCTCAACTTACCTCAGAATCCTCAGCACTTTCATAATCAGAGAGAACAGCTAAAAATAAAGAGTTATTTGAGGTGAAAAACATCTTCCAAAATGCAATGTTTTAAAGGCTTAATTCCCATATTTTCTTCCAATCATTTCATTCATACCCTCCAAACCCATTTGCAGCTGTATCACCCATTCCTTTTTGCTCACATATAAAACCTTGTTTTATCTTTGGTTCATCCATCTAATATTGCTTGTTTTGAATATTCCATCTATCACAAATCGTTTTTTCTGTAAAGCATAACAAATACAAAATATTGCTCCTCTGCATCTATTTTAGGGAAAACTACAGCACTAATTTGTTGACTAATACAGTTTTCCTTTTAACATTAAATCCACTTCCAAGAACTCTGCACTAATTTGTTCATCCTTCCCATGGGGGCTATCTCTTCACAGATCCTTATATTTGTTTCATGTTTGTTTTTGAATCCTTTCTAAACTCATTGTCCGTATGTACAAAATGTTGGTCTTCATCATCCATGATCTTTTACAATGTTAATTCCTCCATATTTACTATTTATTGATACCCTGCTCCTTTATTCCATTTTTCTAACTCGCAGTTCAGTATGACTCCAGAACTCTTATGGTTCTCCCTCTCTTAAAAATAATCTTATCTATGAAATTCTTTTTTTTTCTGCTACTTTTTCCTCTAGATTCTTGCTCATTATGCCTATTAAGATCTAATAACGAAGTCTAACTGGATGGGTGTGCAAACTAGTCTTTTTCCGATGCCAATCATTTTGAATAAAATGCAACTTTCTTTGGCAAAATGCTAAAAAAAGAGGTGGTTACCTAACTACTGGTATCAGTAAACTTGGAATAAGCTAATTATTCTAAGCGCACACAGAAAGAAGGCCATTTGAGAGCCTTTTCCAGGATGTCTGCAAAACGGGGATCGACTCCAAGCTTTCAGTTCCAAGGTCCCTCAGAGCAGAGACAGCTCACCGTGGAGCCAAAAAGAAAGAAGGGGAACTTGAAATGCTGGACCCAGAAGAAAGGTGGAGGGGCAAAGCAACAAAGCAACAGCTTCTGCTGTTCTTGAGAAAAAAAACAAGGCTGCCCAAAGCAAGAATGGGCCAGCACAAAGAACATCACAATGCCACTCATTCCTCTCTTCGGAGTGGACGAATCATTTCAGTATGATTTCAGATGTGAAGATATCACAGAAAGGCTGTTGGCTGCCCTGATAATTTTTTTTAACTATGTGGCAGTTGGAGCAGTGTTATATTGGTTTTTCTGAAATTTTCAGTGGTCTCTGACAGTACTGATCATGGATACTACTGGAATGGCTCAGCGAGTTAGAAACTGGAGCCACAATGTGATTATTTCATTCCTGCCTGCAGAACTATCTAAAATAGCAGTGGAAAGTTTTCAAGAAACTTGTGATGGGACTCTCATATGTTTCCATTTTTTCCTCTCTGTTCAAGTGGGAACATTTACCCAGATAATTGGAATAGAGTGTTATCAGTATTATGATAACATTTACCTTCATCCTTCTTTTCCTGACCTTACAGACAATAACAATTATGCCAAGCTGTAGCTGGTGTCTGAACTGGGAAACACTAGCCTCAGTGATTCATGTCCTTTACAATTATATTATTGCATCGTAACCATCTTGAAGAACTGCAGCCTGCTATGGTAGCTAAACAACAATGTGGAATATTGTGAAATAACAAACCTATGCCCTGATAGTTGATCATATATTGCTTCCACTGCTAACAACAGAAATATTAGACATACAAAAAGACTTATTACCAAAAATGAATGGGTAGAATAAGAAATACTAATTTGCAACAAATATTTTATGATTTTAAAAACATTGCTATGTAATTATTTTGTATTTCTAGCAGCAATCACTACTGTTAAAAGCTACTATAACTTACCATGTCCTTCTATGCCATCTTCACTTTCCTGTTTTAAGAGAGAAAACATTTATCAAAGAAAAAAAAACAGGCAGATGCAAATATGGTACATTAGATTGCTCTAGGAATGTATTTTATAATGAAAATATAAATGAATGAATTTAGCATGGTTATCTTCTAAACAACTGAGTATAATAGTTGCTTTAAGACTGGACATAGTCTTGATGAGATCCAAATTAAGAATTCTCTTGGCTTTGTGCTTCATTAGATGATTTTGTATCAATTATTACTTCTTAGTAACCTAAAAGCCAAACTATTAGGAAACTATTGGAGGAATTATGTATACAGCTTTGAACTTCTGAAGGAATGATTAGCATGTCAATGCAACAAATAATCATACAACTATAACAGAGTTGCATTATCAGGTTATAAATATTAGGAAGTGATTAAAGCTACAGGAAGATTTCCTACTGGGAGTGCAATTCCAATAATTTTCAATGAAAACAATTGTCAGTTAGAAACGTATGGAATGTAATGCCTAATAAAAAAGGATGTCTTTCCCATATGACATTCACTTTATGGGGAAACCAACTTTAAAAATTAGGAAAAAGATGACTTCCGGTGGCTCCGCGTTCCCCGAATGGACGCTCCTTCAGGAGCTCCAGCCCCGTAATTCCGTTTGCCGCTAGAGCAGCGAAAATCAGCTGTTCTAGGGGCTTGAAACTCTCCCCCAGGGAAAAAGCGGGAGAGAAGAGCAGAAGGGTCTGGGTAGAGCTCCTCTAGACCCCCAGACTTTTTTTTTAAGCCTGGGGTTTGCAGAGTGAGAGCTCGATGAAAGCCCTTCAGTGCTCCGGATCCGGGACGATTCTGCTTTAAGCAGAACAAGGGGTCGCGACCACACCAGCAGCGCAATTTTAAGGATTATGAGAAAATTCGAATCTGGACGCTAGCAGAGCAAATCAGGAGAACAGGAAATGCAAGTATCAAACTTTAACTCCGTTTAAAAGAAAAAGCAAAAAAGATGGCGCTTAAGGGCGTTTTAAAATGAAAGTTACAAGTGAAAGTGATCGTTAAAGCTGCAACATTGTAAACGTGACAAGAAAAAGATTTAAAGTGCTAGTGAAATGAAAAAGACTATGGTATTGATTACTTTATACTTCTAAATTGTGTGGAAAATTATTGGATTTATTGACCTGATAGCTGAACAAATTTAAAAATAACTGGATTTGGGGGAAAAAAAAGAAAGAAAATGGCTGGCACCTTTGAAAGTGCTGAAGGACTATTATTACACACACCAGCAAATACACAAATAAGAGCTATAATACATGAAATTTTTGAGTCACATATTACTGCTTTACTGGAAAGTCTTAAAGGTTTTTTTGATGAAAGGTCTCAGGAAGAGGAAACTGTTTTGACTCAAAACATGGAGACAAAGGAAAATATAGTATCATTTCAAGGCTTGTTAGACAGTAGTGAGCTGTTGGAACAAGACGGGGCAGAAACTCAGTTTAATGTGACTGGACAAAAAGGATGCTTTCCAGATCAAGAGGGGAAACCAAAGGAATCTGGAAGAGTTTAATCAGGAGGACTTGAGAGAGATTTATGCGGGTTTCAAATTAAATGAAAGATAAAAACTTTCAAAGAGACATCAACCTCAAATCCAAATTTTAAAATTCTCGAAAATAAAAGCAGGAGGAGGAGCTATGCTGAAGAAGAAAGAATTATCGAAGAAAAAGGACTGGAAAAAATACAGAAAGAAGGGAAGAACTGAAGATTAATCTTTTTGGGGGAGGATTTTGGCAATAGGTTGAGAAGCTTAACTAAATTTGTACTTTTAAAGTTTATTCTAAGGTAATAATATAAAGGAAGTGTGTTATTACAACTGGATCTGGATATAAAAATGATAGCTTCTTAAGAGTTATCGAGGTAAAAATGATAGCTTTTTAAGAGTTATCGAGGTATTAAAATGGTTAATTAAAAATTTGAGGGACACCCTTCTGAAGGGTTTGAAATTTACATTTTGAGAAGTGACTTAATGTCTTATTGATGTATTAAGAGATTTTTAAAATGTTTAACATAAGATTATAGTACTTTAAGAAGGTATATGAGATAAAATGTTTAAAGTTTTAAAATGTCTAATTTTATGAAGGATTAAAGAGGATAAATGTCTAATTTAGAACTTCATTAGGGAGCAATGTTGATTGAGGAAGAAGGACTGGAAAAAATATAGAAATGGTTAATTAAAAATTTAAGGGATAGTTTCCTGAAGGTTTTGAAATTTATATTTTGGGGAATGAACTAAGGTCTTATTGATGTATAAAGAGTTTTTTAAAAATGTTTAATATAGGATTATACTATTTTAAAAAAGAAAGGTGTCTGAGGGATGAAAATGAAATTTATCAATGTTTGTTAATGCTTGTAATATTGTTAAAGCTATTGGATTACATACCAAGAAAAAGGCTCTTATATTCAGGAAGAAAGAATTTAATCTAACTGATTTTGAGAATTTACAAAAGGGAGGTTGATGAATTTGCAAAAGAGGAGTTAAAGAGCATGAGGGAGTTTTAAACTTTGTAGTAGGTTAGTATATTTTAGCTTTTGCTTGATAAATGTTATACCCTGTTTTTGCTCTGGGAAGTCGGGGGTGGGGGGGAGGGTTGGGGGGATAGAATTGTTGAACAGATAAAGGTACAAATATAAAAGTAAATGTGGGGAAAATGTTACAACAAATGAAATGATAATATCAAGATATGATAAATATTGGATGAGTAAGAGAAAAAAAAAGATGTATTCAGATGATACTGATTGAATGATTATATATTGTATGTATGCATGTTTATAAAATAAAAACTTTTTAATAAAAAAAATAGGAAAAAGATATGGAAAAATTGGATGGAAGTGGGGATATTGACGGTGGCTCAATTGAAGATGAGGAATATTAATTTTTAACAAATGTTGTGTTAGAGACAGACACCATCTATCATCTATCAATGGCAATGGCAATATTTACAGCTACAGTATTTGTTAACAGTGTTTGGACCAACAACATTTTCACTCAAGATACAAGAACAACTTGTTAAATCCTTGTTTAACAATCTATTAAATAAAAACCTATTAGTTCTTGTAGATATTTGTCATAAATTTGATATGCAGATGCTGAGAAGTGAATGGAATAGAAGTAGAGGTTCTTATATTGCTTACACAACAGGACAGTATCTTAACTTCTATAGCAAAAATGTCAATGAACCTTAGACTACAATTTATAAAACAAAAAATCATTTGAAATTTAATGGAGTCCAATATTATTTGTATAGAAAAGCACTAAGACAACATTTTGTTAAAGATGTAATAAGGATAATGCTTCTTTAAAATGCATGTTTTTAAAATGTCCTATACTCACTAGGTTTTGGGAAAAAAGTAGATTATATGATTGTGCAAAAAAAGGTAAAATGTTCAGAAGATAATAATCACTTGACTATACATCTAGGCAAACAATTTAACAATGTAAGTGGCCATGTTCTTACTATGGCCAAAAGACTGATATTGCAGCATTGGTAAGATAAAGATATGGCTACATTCACTAAATGGATTGAAGACCTACATGTGCAACCTATCAGAGAATGGCCTAAAGATATTTTATTTCTAATATAATGAGATATGGACTCATTTAAGTATATTAGAAATAGATATAGTTGAACGTTTGTATTAGTATATATAAAACTGAAAGACTTTATTGTTGTGACATGCTGCATTTTATATATTTTTTCACCTTTTCAAATACTTGCTATCAGCTTTTTTCTTTAAGTATGTATTTCCACCATAATTATCTTTGCATATTGTTCTTTTATCTTTTTCAGTTATTTTAAAAGCATTAAATAAATAAATTTCCAGACAGCATCTTTCATAGATAACTTGATAGGGGAATACTACTTTAAATCACCACATCTTTAATCTTTCAAAGAATAATCCACCACTACAACCCCCACCTCCCCCAAAATTCCAGGGCATAGATTTTTTCATTCTTTCTTGATATTTTGGTTATTTTTCTTATTCTTAAATTTGTTTATATGTGCTTTTTTGACTGCTGTTTAAAACTGAGCCTGATTGTTGTTAGGAGTAATTATTTTGTTATATTGTAAGTAAAGCATCAGGATATTCCAAAAGAAAGAAGCATCTTTTCCTTCCACTTACAGGAAATCCTGCCTGATGAAACATTAGGATAATTTTAACTTCTTCATAAGAACAAGAATATGAATAATTTTCTTTAGGGAAAAAATGTCCCTTGGAGATGATTAGTAATTCTTGGAAAATGTTAGGACCCAAAATTATTATTTAATACATGCAAAATGTCCAGGTACATTTTTAAGAATGAAAACACATTAGCAATTTACATGTTCCTGAGACATCTAAGCCTCTATGTGCCTAAAAAACATAAATGTTATCTGTGTCTCTATAAAAACACAAGAGAAGAGATAAAAAGAATGTGTCAATATATTATTTTACAGATTTTACTTTTCTTACAAAAGTATTCACAATGGTACTATAATATTACCATATAATATGCAATACAAAAAAGGTATACCAAGCCTAAATTAAATCTGCAAGATGTGAATGTTAACTCCTAAGTAGTTATACAGTTTTTAATACTATGGAAAGCAGGTTCAGAATGGAAAAACATCATTATACAGAAAACACTGCTACTTGTTAAATGGCAACGTAGGTTTGCTAAATGTAAGTGTAACAGATACATTGTCAAATAATTTCTAATTCCTGCATCTACCAAACAAATTCCTTTATTTGTACAATAGCCCTTTTTCTGACTCTGAACTTTTAATAGGTCTAATAATTTACGAAGAATTATTTCCAAAATAGAATTACATTATCAATTTGATTGGTTAACCTAGCGTATTGCCAGTTTCAAAATATTCAGGACCACATTTTCATGACTTGTTACACAAACCCCACAATGCTTTTTTAAAAAGGCACCTCTGGTGTAAAATACGGCATGCATTCAAACGTCATGGTATTTACCTACTAGACACTCAAGAAGAGTATGTGCAATCTCAAAGAGACTTAAGGAACCAAGTTCAATTTAAATACCCGCAAAATAAAAGGCACCATTACTGAAATTTGCTTTACTACCACCATCCTTTGTCATAGAATAACAGGTACGCACCTTCTGCATACTGTATTATACTGAGAGATACAATTTTGTTTAATGCAGCACGCAAACGGAAGTGGTGGCTATCTACTTCCGAGACGACAGAACGGCTATGGAGAAAACATCGAAAAGAAAACCAAATGCTAGCTTGTTTTTCCCCATCCAAGAGGAACCTGGTGGGCTATTAGTCAGCGACGAATGAAAGGAGTACTCTGCACATGCTCAGAACCACTTTCCCCTCCCCGGCTCTTCCCAACTTTACAGGAGCCGCCCAAGGAGAGGATCGTAATCAAAACCTCCCCGCTATAATATGCAAAGGAAGGCGGGGAGCCGATCATAAGAACTTTCCCGTTCCCTCTTTCCCTTCCGGATCTATCCACTCACACACTCCGAGTCGGCCGGGCTCCCTCCAACCGTCACCGGCGCCTCCACATTTTCAGTACCGGCAGTAGCACCGGCGGTGCTTGCAGGTCCGGCTAAGCCAAAGCGGTGACTGCCGGTGCGCGGGGAAGAAGGTGCGCTTCCAGGCGGCGAATCGGACTCATCCTCTTCGCTGCTATCCTGCGAAGCGCGCTGCCTCCGACGATCCGCCATTTTGACAGGAACCAAAAAGGGAAACAAGAAAAGCGAAACGGTTAGAAGTAGGAGGAAGAGGAAGCAAGGCCCAAAGAGGATGACGGGTAACGAAGGCGGCGTCCCATCATGGAAAGACTACGATTCCCAGCAACCAACGCAGGTTTTTTTTTTTTTTTTTTCAAAACTTCTTATTCGTTCACCCAGAACTCTGTGCTTGGATGGCCGAAGCTCTTGACGGAGGGAGAAGGTTGCGCGGAGAAGAAAATTCGCGCCCAATCAAAGGCGATGACATCACGAGAAAGGAGTTCAATAGGCGGGGAAGGTGGGGGGAGGGCGGGAGAACTCCCGGCGACGGTGTCACGTGCTCGTCTCTCTCTCTCTCTCTCTCTCTCTCTCTCTCTCTCTCTCTCTCTCTTTTAAACTGCTGCATGAGAGGTGGAGACGGAAGGTGTCTTGTTGGTCAAAAATAGCATGACGTTTTCCCATTGCAGGGATTACATCATTCCAGTTTTCCTGCAGTGCTGAAATAGTTGAGGCGCAGCAGCCTCCTCTGGAGAAAACAAGATAGCCATTAATATTTAAAAGAATAGCGGCTTATGTAAGGATAAAGTAGCCAGGGAGACAACGCAAAATGCGATCCAGACATTAGGCGATGCGGATATCAACAGTGCTGGCCTTTGTGCATCATTCTGGCAACTCCTATTAACATGACCAAATGCCTTGAGGAGGGGGGCTTATCTCCATATTCTGGTCAGGTCTTTCCCACGCTATATTTGATGGCAAAGCCCCTGAGGATGGGAGGAGCCCTGACTAAACAGGTTTCTGAGCTGTTGTTTCTTGCTTCCATTCCACTCTGCCATCTCTTCAGGGATCTTTCTGATCTCTTGAAGCCATCTTAATTCAAAGGCTACTTCATTTTATGGCAAGGAAATTTATAATGTGAAGTGCTTTTTTTTTTTTTGCCCTGAATATTCCACTGATTAACTTCATTGGGTTGACTCCATTTTATATGATGAGATGGAAGAAAAGTATCCATATCCATTTTCTGCATACTGCATTTTCATACACCTTTATCATTTTTCTCCTCCTTTTTTCTTGTTAAAAACACCAAAATACAGCCTTTCTTTTTAAAGGAAATTTATTTTGTTTTGTTGATTTTCATTGACTTTTTTGTAATTGGCAAATAACTTTATTACAGTTGTACTTAACTAATAATTGTCATTCTTTGGCTATAAAAATATTCAGAACATCAATTTTTCACCTAGGATTTGTGGAGGGAATGGGTTAGGGCCATGATGGTGAACCTATGGCATGCGCACCGGCTAGCTGCTCTATTCCAGGTTACGGCGCACACATGCCAGCTTGTCTTTGTGTGAAGACCAGCTGGTTGGTGCACATGTGCGCAAAGGAACCCAGAAGAGCAGCTGGCTGCTGTCCATGCGCACCAGCCAGCTGCTCTCTTCTGGGCTCTGGTGTGCGCTCCAGTTTCGGCACTCAGTGCCGAAAAGGTTAACCATCACTGGGTTAGGGATTCTTATGTTTATTTGAGGAATATTCATTACAATTATTGACTGTCAAATCTTTAAGGAAGATTGCCACAAAGGAATAGACTTTGGGCTAGTGTCTGTTTTGACCTAATACTGCCTGGAACTGCCTACCTGAGGAAAGAGCAGAGCAGTACCAGCTTCTCAAATCCTGCGGCAGTCATGGGAATACCACAATTGATGACTTCCTTCAACATGGTGGGCTGAGTGACTGTGATTTTTTTTTTCTCTCCTGTAAACGAACAGCTGATTATGCCATCAAATGACCCGCTATTTGGCGGTCCGTTCCCCAGATTTGAACGGGAGCAACTAGGGAGATGACCCTCAGATAATTATGTACCTGCTGGGGGGAGGGATCTTGACAATCACAATTTTCAGTAGAAGCTATCAGAGGGTCAGGTTTTCCATCTTTTCCTTCCAGCTGTTTGTTATATTTAAGCATGCTTTGGTTTTAACTGCAGTTTAAAGTGTTCTTTACTTTTTTATTTATATATTTAGCTGTTAATTGACTGATTGAATGTTGACATTCTACAATCCCTTGGTGTTTTTACTGTTTGAGTTTTAAATCACTTTCACTTTTGCTGTAAGGAAGTCAATGGCAAGAGGATTTATCCCTGGGTGATGAAAATCAGCCAATTTTTACTACAAGGATTCTATATTTCACCATTTTTAAAAGCTTTGGTCTTATTTTAACTTTTGATGGAAAATTTCTTTTTTTTTCTAACTACTTTTTATTGTGGGAAATTTTATCTCCATTTTTTTCTGTGATTGTTCAGTTATAGTACCTTTACTTCTCTAATCTTCAAGATTGAAACTGCTTGCACTTTTGTCGTGAATGCTCAACTACAAAAGAATTTTGGACTATATTAAAATGTAAATGTGAACATAAATAACAATAAAGGATTTGAATACAATATATTATATATTTTTTACACTGTCTACAAAAAGAGATAAACCCCTTTGGGATGCCTTTAAAATGCTTTTCAACTTACAAACTCTAATTGAAAACTTGGATAAAAAGTTTGATAAATTAAAAACAATGTGAAAGCAACCCCAGGATAACAGCCAGTTACAATAACAGCTGGACTAGACTTACAGTCAAATGTATTGGAATCTAGTATTTTGCTGGCAGATATGAAGGAAAAGGAGTCTGGCTTGAGAATTTCAGGCTTGGTGGATAAGATTAAAAGAGGCACGAGTATAAAAGATTGAGATGATAGAACTGATGAGTGATGGACTGGATTTTCTTAAAATGGATAGAATTTGGAGTGTGTATTTATGTTTAATCAGAAAGCATTTGACAAGTGTTTTTATTTACAGAGAAGTTTTCTGAACAATGCATACTGTGGAGATACTTAAAACAGAGACTTATGACTCTGGGGAATGAGATGCAATTGTTAGGAAAGATCCCTATAAAAATCTTAAGGAAAAGTTTTATTATTAAGAATAAAATGAAGATATTTGATTCTGGACAGATCAGAGATAAGGGCTGTGATAATCTGTGGTTGTAGACTTTCTATGAGTTAAATACAATAATAGATTGTTATTGAAGGATTTTGAGGGTTAACTTTGCTGGTAACAGGTTTACCTTTTAACAGTGCCGTAGCAGGGGTGAAATCCAACTGGTTCTGACAGATTATGGAGAACCAGTGGCAGAAATTTTGAACAGTTCGGAGAACCGGCAAATACCACCTCTGACTGGCCCAAGAGGGGGGTGAGAATGGAGATTTTGCAATATCCTTTCCCCAGGAGTGGGGTGGGAATGGAGATTTTGCCTTCCTCTGCCAAGCCCACCAAGCCATGCCCACAGAATCGGTAGTAAAAAAAATTGGATTTCACCACTGGTGTATAGTGATTATAATGATGAGGAAATGTCAAATAAGGCAATACATGACAGAAGAAATATGCTTTTCATTTTATTGTAAAAAAAATTATTTCAATTTTGTTTAAACATACAAGCAGAATTTCTCTTTTAATACTCCTTGTTAACACTGTTTAAACTAAATGAACAAAGCAAAACAATTTAAAAAACAAAAAAAATGAACATTAACAGCCACAAATTTGGTATTTACAAACTTTTTCTTTATAAGTTATTTACAAGACAACTGATTTTACATATTGAAAATGGTATAAAAAGAATGCATTTGCAGACAACCACATTTGAAAGGGCGGAAAAACAAGAGAAAGGGAATTATAGACAGTTTTTAGGACTACCATAAAATTGGTTAAAAAATGTTTGTTTTCAAAAAATCAGGTATAATTTGCATTGGCTTTTTTCATTAACAGTTTCAAATGTTGAACTCTCTACAGGGTGGGAAACTATTTTTTCCAGCCCATTCCCAGCTAACATCCACTGCAAACTGTTTCTACAAACCCTACCTATTTCCATATGCCTAGTCATCTTTTTTTATGATGCATGTATTATATGCATGTCTTTCTGAGTCAACATTCTGTTCATTGAGGGAAGGGAAGAGAGAATATGCTGTTTTATTCAGAATACAAATTGAATTATTTCTGATAACTGTCTTAGTGTGGATTAAATAAAAACATTGTCTTCTGAAAATGGAATATTGATTCAAGAATTGATCATGTGACACATTTCTAATTACTTTAGAAAAAGCAAGATCAAGTTTTAAAATCAACATTGTATTCAAGAAGCTTCTACCAAAAATCTGCTTCTTTGAAACATCCACACTTGTACTTGGCAGGGGACAAAAAATAACCACTTATGGATGCATGCTGGCATGCTAAAAAGCAAAAGATCCAAATACACCTTATTTAAAACAAAATCAGGCAAACATTTTGCACTATTTCAACTACAATAGACTACATGGCAGAAAAGAGGATCTGTTCTTGTCATTTTAATTTCAAGTCATAGAGTATAACTTTTTAACAATGTTCATACGAAGTGTGCTACCTTTTGTGAAAAAAAATAGTACTTTAAATTCCCAGGGAAAACTGCCCAGAAGTGTGACTGCAACTATCCTCAAACACCTGGAAATTAAAATGGACAATGAAACTATTTTTTTAGTGTCCTCCATAAATGATGCAGAAAATTATGTTTAGGGTTATTTTACAATTCAAGAAACTGAAATCTCCCATTTATCTAGAAATTTTAGCCATTTAAAAAAAAAAAGTTTACTTCAGTATTCCCGTTAAGCAGGCAATACACAAACAAAGGCAGCTTCCAAAAATGATGCAGATCAGGCAGAAGGACATGCGATTTTACAAACGAATTCCCTACACTTACGGAAGATGAAGGAATTGATTTCCACTTACTGTAAAAGTTACAGTAGGATTATGATTGGCTTAAAAAAGTGCCAAACTTTAAAACAATCACAAATTGAAGTTTAAGCTACTTCTCAGTATTTCCATTGGGAAACCCAAACTGTCCATTTTTTAAAAAAAAAACCTAACAATTGTTTCACAGTTTTGACAAGATATTTGGTTAAACAAAACAGAAAAACATCTAGAGGCAAACTAGCATTGCATGGTTATTTCTGGATTTTGCCAAATTATATATCAGAACTGTGACAAAGATGTGAAGACATGCATCTCTTCACTACCAGAACTGCCTGCATTCAGTATTACAAATTCAAGACCTGATTAGTAATTGTAATTTGAATCAGAAGGCA